AGGGCCTACTCTGGGTCCTAGTCATTAATCCATATTCCAACTTTCTCGAGTTCTCTTTAAACCGCAAGACCGCTGAACCCGAAACCCACAATTCAATGCATGCTAAAGGCCCTCACCCATTTAAGGGGAAGATCAAGCCCAAAATAGAACCCTTGAAGCACATCAAACTTTACAACCTGGTTAGAAGACAATAGGATAGAAGACGATAGAAGAGGGCTTTGGCTCTGTTAACAGTCACCATCGTCTGCTTGGCTTTAGGGACTATAAGTGAGTACTACTACTAAAGTCGTTCAACCTAGCGACAGTTGATGCCCACTGAAGCTTCCACACTCATGTAATATAGGGGCCTTAAGACATAGAAGAAGGTTTGGGGGCCCACTATGCTATAGTGCAAAAAAGGAACCACCAAAATCGTATCGGACATTTTTCAGGCCGGTATAGTAAGGGTCTCAAGAAGACCCGGCTCTCCAGTGTACACAAACCGTAAGGACCAACTGACCCTTAAAACAAGGGGGCCCATACAATTATACTATGAATCCCTATAAGGTATCTGAACCCTAAAAGCTTTTAGGGTTCTTTTCGTCCTTAAGGAATACAATGGGTTTCATGCATGTTACATTTCTTGCACTACAACCTCAACCCCCTGTAGTAGGGTCACGGAGTGTGATTCTCACAGGGGATGGTAGATAAAAATTTTAAACAGGCCGACACATAGGAGTAATAAAGAGGCCTTCATACTCGAAAAAAGTCTTGGGAGTATCTTTTACTAAAAGTATAATAAGAGCACCAGTTGGAATTGTTTAGGCGCAGGACAAAGAAGCAGCAACGTGACAAGAACACGCTGTTTTCTGCGGTGATCTCACCCCGCGATCACGCAAGCACCCGAGTCTTAGGCTCAGGGATTCATGGTCTAACCCTTATGCCTAGGCGCTGAAACCCCATGTGAACGTCTGATGGGACTTGGCAAGTAAGGTTACAAGTAAAGTTCTGATGATTTGGATAACTGTGCGTGAAGCACTTGCAACTTATAACCGCAACTACAACCCGACTTTCTGAGTCCCTTGAGCTGTTAACTACCTTGGGCTAACACATCACTACTTTTGTCAGGGTCCCTGCGCTTTTTAGCCGGGTTTAAAACAGGAGCCTACAAAAAGCAGGATATAGTGTTTTCAGGTTTTAAGGTTAGACAAATGTAGGGTCCGCTCATATTCTACGTATAGTAGTGTAGGCTATGCCTTTTGAAGGTAGGGAAATGCCAGGTAGTGTGCATGCAACGCCCTTGGCAAACTCAAGTATACCGGACTCCCACGAACTTGCTGCGAGTTTCAGGTGGTGTCTTCATGGGGACACTAGTATCAGTCCGACAAACTAGCAATGCAGACCGTACTTGGTACTTCATGTTGTAAGCTTTACTTGGACCCTATGAAGCCTTCCTTGTAGGGTTCCCGATTAAGATTTCCTGAAACATATCCTCCAAAAGGTAGCTTGTCCCTTCTCATGTGACCAGGCCCAAAAAATCTCATGCTTTCTAAGACAGGCCAAATATGTGAGAACTGAAAGCTTAAAGTTCTCCCGTTGAGGAAGTAAGGGGTTGTTTGTGGTCTAGGTATAGGGGGTTTTACATGGGTTTGCAGAGTCGCCTACCTATCGGATCAGGGGACTTTCCAAGTCGGTTACAAGTAAGGTAACTATACTTTTAAGTACTTACCCAGAGAGCCCAATACGCCTTGATTGAGGAATCTGCCTTAAACTATGAGGGGCCTCATATTATGATTCGAGCTATATTCCTTTATCAAGTTGTATTGGGCTCTCTGGATATAACCCCAAACAGGGTACTTACAACCTTACTTACTACGTCCCGGGACCCGAGATCCTCAACTCAACCCTAAACCCTGAAGGAGAACCCTAAACCCTACCTTAACCCCAAATAGCCTGCCTTTTTAGGGTTCCTTATTATGTTTTCTTCATATAAGTCCTGAAAAAGGTAGGAACCGTAAGCCCTAAACCCTGCACTCCTGACCATCCGCCAAGTAGGGCCTAGCTGGAGGGCTGAAGGTTCGGGGTCGTCAGCTTTGGAACATTCAAGGTGTAGGGGCCTGGGTTTAGGGTCTAGGGTGTAGGGGCGGTTCGGGGTTTAGGGTGAAGGAGCCTAGATTTTAATGCTGGGTGCAGGGTTTTCGGACCTTTCATAGACGGTTCAGGATTTACTTTAGAGTTTGCCAGCATTTGCTACGGGTGTATTTCGGATCTGAAACGGCCTAACCGTGCAGTCCGGATAACTTACCAGCGCCATGGGATGCAGCGTAACATTTAGCCTTCTTGGTACGCGCAAGGTTCCGGAACTCTGCAACCTGAGCAAAACTACCTACTTGTCGGGTATCATGGGCAAGGAAAGGTTAACCTTTTTGGTTATATAGGGGCTATATAGGGACTATACTACCCAAAAAAGGTTCAAGGTTACCTACTCTACTACTAGGACTAGGGTTAGGAGCACAGTTGGCGTGCAGAAACGTAGGTGGAGCATGGAGGCAGTTAGACAGTCTCGGCTGATGAATTCGTATAGCACCCTACTAAACCCTATCAAGGCCTGCCGAAACCCTCGAAGAGCCTATTGAAAGCCAAAGAGAACCTATGAATATCTTGTCAAAGCCGTAACTTAGTTGCTGAGTTCATAAGCCCCCAAAAGTGTACACTTTCAGTTTTATAGTGAGTGATATTATCACCAAAAGAGTAAAGTGTATCCACTCAGCTACTAAGGTAAAAAGCCACGGCCGGCTCAGCATGCTGTGATGCAGATTTGGGATCCATCTTCGGCTCCTGACGGGGTTTAGGGTTCAGGGTTCAAGGAATCAAAACTGGCCCGAGAACTCCCCGAATCATTCCTACAACATGAACCCTAAAAGAGTCTAAGGTTAGAGTCCAGTGGTGGTTTGGGTTAAGAGGTCATATCCAAAGACATAGGGTTGCCATAGGAAGCCTAGGCCATCCCTCGAGACTTCAATATCCCTCATATTAGGGACCCTACCATAATTTCAGGAATATTCCTCAATCAAGGGATAGTGGAGTCTCTGGGTGTTAGTGCCTGAGGAGCTGTCATCATCTATCCTGGCTTCAGTCGACCTCAAAATGCCCAAACTGTTGCATACTTAGGGCTTTTGAGTAAACAATAAGGAAGACTAAACATGACCCCGAATTAAAAGAGGTATCGTGCAGAACCCTGAGGAATAGTATGAGCAATTGAACGGGCTTGTACATCAGTTGATGGCTGTACTATTAAGATCCCAAATTGCAATCCTTTTTGAAGGGCCTGTCAATGCGGGAATGCATAGACTATCAAACCCTGAACCGGTTTAAGGTTCAATCAAGGTCAACCCAAACCCATATCCTATTTGTCCAGTATCCTGGGGAACTAACCTCTGCGAGTAAAGTGGGAGTATGTAAAGGACATAGTACCAAAAAAGGGTTAAAGGAAAGCTATTCTACTATTAGGATATGGGTTGTTGGCTCCGGTACTTTATTGTGTGCGAGGAAAGTGTGCTGGAACCTCGTGGGGTAGAAAGCAAGAAAGCTCCCGCTTGAAGGCTGAAATCCAAGCAATAATTCACGAGAACCCAGAGAGCCCAATACCCCTTGATTCAGGAACACAGCTTATAAATCATACACGATGTGCAGACTGCATGCAGACTTGGAGGGTCGGAGCACTTAGTAAGTAGTTGCTTTGTAGAATTATAAGTACGGTTGATGATATAAATCCTGCATGACCTTAAGGACCCTAAACTATGGAAATTATGGTATATTCCTTATTAAAGGTAATGCAGGATTTATATCATCAACCGTATCATACCCCGAATAGGATCCTTTCTCGGGTACCTATACGGTAGAAGCCGCAGCCAGAAAGTTGGAACATCATTATCCCCATGCCCTTAAAGTCAAATATAAGGGATCCTAGCAGTAATCCTCCTAAATCCATGTTCCAACTTTCTGGCTTCTACTATAACATTACCTATTATCTACTTACTAAGGCCCCCGACATTCCAAGGGCCCTCAGCTTGCCTCGACCCCCCAAATCCAAAGCCACAATGGGACGACGGAAAGCAGGCGAGGCTGTTCTGTCGCCCACGGGGAAAAAGCAGTTATGTATCTATTTTGGGTTAGTTCTTTTATAGTAGGAACCCAGAAACAAGAAGCAAACCAAGTATGTGACTGGACAACCGTGCGGGAGTGAGTTCTCCACATACTGTAAATATGCTGCGCACCTCCTCACTTACCGGAGTTCTGCTGCACATACGGCTTCTGAACGGCGCAGGGCACACCACCGAACGTACGAACACGGAGAAACACCATGCAGGGGCCGCAAAAAGACCTCAAACCCCCAACTCCTCAAGTCCCGAAACCGCGAAGCCCTACAGTAGAAGCCAGAAAGTTGGAATATGATTATCCTAACCCCTTTAAGGTAAATTATAGGGGATCCTACCATTAATCCATATTCCAACTTTTTGGAGTTCCCTTTACACCCAAATGCAGAACCCGGTGACTTGGAGTACTCATGTTCAAGGCTAGGGTTTAGCGTAGGGTTTGATGTGATTTCAGAAAACTGGGATACCTTACTTAGGGCCTCTATACTAAAGATCCTCAAAGTCTGGGAATGGTTGAAGCCCTCTATATTATATTCAGAACCTCATATGTATATATATATATATACATATACATACACAGGTAACATATATATATATATATGTCCACATTGAGTGTTTCCTCATATGTATGTATATATGTATACGTATACACATATAGCAGATGTGCACGTGCCTAAGTGTATGTGTCATATTCCAGATGCAGAGAGGGGGGAAGCTTTCACAGAAGGGTTCCTATGGTGTAGAGCTGTACCTTTGGTTCCGTCTCCGAGAGTTTGTGCTTCAATTAGAATTAGAATCTAGGCATATAGGGGGCTTGGGGTTTAAGATTTATGTTTAGGGTTCCGGGCTTAAGTCCCGCTCCTGTCACGTTCGCGGAAGCGCATACTTGCTGAGGCGGAACACCTCGCGATGCATGGCTTAGAAAAAAACCTACCCAGAGAGCCCAATAAACCTTAATAGGGAAGCCCTCGATCAAACATGTTTAATAACGTCCACAAGCCCTAAACCCTAAACCTGAACCCTATACTTTGAGAACATGTATAGAACCCTTTTGTTAACTGCAGCTTGCATGGATTGTCAGCTTTCGGTTGTATGCTCAGTTCGACGGAGCTTGAAAATCACCACTGTGCTTCCAGGTGTTCCTTTTTTGTATTGTCAGTCGCAAAGTTATAGATGAAAATTGGCGCAGTCGGTTTTTCTACTCTTATCGTTCTACAAGAAGTGATGCATTGCCAACTTAATGACTTAAAACTTTTTGCGTCCCTTAGTTAGACCTCTCAAAGCTCTCAAAGCAGATGCTATCTCGTCCTCCCTGGTGGGTACTACGGGCGAGGAACGGCTAAAGGTGCCTTCATGAAAATATTTGGGGTTGAGGATGGGGTTTAGGGCCGTTTAGGGTTTAGGGTCTGTATACACTCTAAAACCCAAACCCGAAAGAGTTTAGGAGTTGAGAATTTGGGTCGGGGGCCGTCTGTGGTGGGTATACTTGGGGCTTGACTGGCCGGGTAGTCCGGGGCCTAAGCCTCCTTGAAGGCTCTCACTACACCTTTAATGATCATTGTATTTAGGGTTTTGGGGTTCAGTTTTGAACTTTTTTCCCGGCTTCAACTGCCTGTCTGAACGCATATCAATCGTATCCCCTGATCATAGTATAAAAGTATTACTTGGCAGCCTTGAAATGCCTTGCGAAACTCTGTCAAACCCTATCACAGCGCTTGAGCGGAACCCAGCCCGCAAAGTTGCGGAGAAAAGTGCAAGACTCCGCAGGATGCCAGCAGAGATGCACCCGCCAGTGGTCTCAGCGCCCGTGGAAGTCCCGTTGAGCACCACTGCTTAAAGGCTCATGGGACTTAGTGAGTAAGGTTATAAGTAGGTTAAGGTTAGGCTAGCCCGAGTTAGGGGACTTATAACCCCAGTTATAACCTACTTGCTAAGTCCCATGATCCTTTAAGTAGGGTCCTCACCAGCCCGAAGCCCTCCAATTCCGGTGTGTTTAAGCCGATGCCCCAGACGGCCACCCGGGTGACAGGCCCGGCCTCTGGCGAGAAAAAGTCGAACGCCGCGATGCATTCTGAGTGCATGTGGAGGGTGGCGTGGATCAGAGGCTCTGCTGTGCGGAGGACGGTGTCTGGATGGTTCCCCTTAGCGCCGAGGGCCGACAAGCCACGGTGCTTTGCAGCACCCTTGGTGAGCTCCATCTACCCTAAACCTACGCTAAACCTCATTCAGCCTTACTGAACCCGAATCTTTACTTGTCTTCGGAAGTAATGAAGCTATTCTTGGCATCCCTTGCAAATAGCAGCAGGACACCCAACAGATACTTACTTTTGGTATTTGGCACTTTTACAACCACAAGCAGGGACAAAGGGCCCACTGGGAGACCAACAGCAAGGTCAAGTACACCAGGGGCTCCTGAAACTCCCAAGACTCTCTACTTACTGGGACTATAGTGATACTAGCAAGCACTAGTGATACTAACTATACCTGAATCCTATATTCTGAGCTCCTTACTGGGTAGGGTTTCTAGAGTAGGAAAACATTATAATGCTGTCTGATGCTGCTTTCCCACAAGCATGCATGATGCTCCCACGGTCGTTCCGCAGTCTGGGCAGTATGAAATGTAGGAACCTGATTAAGAAACCTTGGGCCTTAATAAGGGTTCCTTATATGAATCCTATTATTTTGGAATTATAGCCCCAGGGTTTCTTCATCAGGTTCCTGCAGTACCATCGGGGCGTCGGGCTGCGAACGGCGGTCGGCCTTCTTAAGCTGCCCATGCACATGGGCTTAAGTCTCCTAAACCCTGGAGCCTATATAAACCCTAAACCCTCAGGCCTATACAAACCCTAAACCCTAAAGCCTATTTTAACCCTAAGCCCTATATAAACCCTAAACCCTAAACCCCTAAACCGTAAATCCCTAAACCCTACACCGATAGATGCCATCCTCTTTCGCTCTCTACCGGTCTTGCTCAGCATTTTGTGGTTTGGGTTTAGAGTTTAGAGTTTAAGGTTTAGGTTAGTTTCCAGCATATAGGTACTTAGAACACTTTGCTGTAAGCTCTCTACTGGCTCAAAATCCAAAGGACGCGGTCCTGCGTGCACGCGGCTTCCCGCAGCAGCTCTGGATCGTAGTCCTGCGTTGCTCCAAAGGTCAAGGTTAGGGTGATTGTAGGGTTTCGGGATTAGGGTGATGCTATGGCGGGATGCGGATGGTCAAGCATTGTCAGAAGAACCACCCGAAAAAAGCCCTGCTACCCTCCAAATCGTGTGCAATTATGCTATGAATCCCTATCAGGTATATGAAACCAAAACCCTTTTAGGGTTCTTTTCCCTAAACCCTAAACCCTGAACCCTAAACCCTGAACCCTAAACCCTAAACCCTAAACCCTGAACCCTAAACCCTAAACCCTAAACCGGAGTCCTGGCCGAGCAACAATGTCGATGGAAGCTGATCCGGCTCTGTCGCCTGCAGGTCTTACAGGCTCGGGGGACTTCGTCTGTAGGGTTTACGGTTCCTTTTAAAGGTACTATAGGGTTCTATTATAGGGCTCCCTTTAAGGGTTTAGGGTTTAGGGTCTACTTAAAGGCTCATGGGACTCAGTAAGTAAGGTTGAAGTAGGTTATAAATCTCATGGGACTTAGCAAGTAGGGTTTAGGGTTCCTTTTAAAGGTACTATAGGGTTCTATTGTATCGGGCTCCCTTTAAGGGATAAGGATTTGGGGTCTACTTAAAGGCTCATGGGACTTAGTAAGTAAGGTTTAAGTAGGTTTGAATCTCACGGGACTTAGTCAGTCCTTTTAAGGGTACTATACGTGGCAAGTAAACTGCACTGAGCGCTGTTAGCTCCGCAGTGACCGTTGAATGCATGATGATAACAATAATGAAGTGCCACCGTGCGACCCGGCCAAGCAGATCGTCTTGTACCTGTGCTAGTTGGCATACTTAAAGGCTCATGGGGCTTAGTAAGTAAGGTTATAAGTAAGTTCTGATTAGGATAACCCCACTTAGGGGACTTATAACCCCCATTATAACCTACTTACTAAGTCCCATGATCCTCTAAGTAGGCAGCATCCCCAGGAGCCGGATTTCTAGACGGACCAGCGAACTTGCTGGACTGGCCTTTGGCAGGACCGGCCACAGCTGTTGCTTTTGTACCTGTGGGCTCCTGCTTCTTCTTCTTGGGAGGCTCAGCATGATCGGTCCCTGCTGCTGTCTTCTTGTGGCTGAGGAGAAGTGACAGCTCGCCTTTCTTTAAAGTGGGCGCATACTTAGAGGATCATGGGACTTAGTAAGTCGGGTATAATTGGGGTTATAAGTCCCCTAAGTGGGGTTATCCTAATCATAACCTACTTATAACCTTACTTACTAAGTCCCATGAGCCTTTAAGTAATCATCACACCACGGTCGACGCTTCATTGCATGGGCCACGGTCCGAGAGTGGTCTGGCTGCTGCTAGCACCTTAAGGACGAAATAAACCCTAAAAGGGTTTAAGGTTCATATACCATATAGGGATTCCTAGTATATGGGTAGAGGGCCCCTACTTTTGAGGGTCATTTGGTCCTTCAGGCAGCTCATGATAGGCAATGAGCCGACATCATCATCAAGGGAGGAACGGTGATTGGTTGCAGGCACAAGCAACAGTTCTATTCTGGGGCTGCGTTTAAGGGTTTAGGGTCTACCTGAAGGCTCCTGGGACTTAGTAAGTAAGGTTATAAGTAGGTAAAAATTAGAATAACCCCTCTTTGGGGACTTTTAACACCATGACTTACTACGTCCTATGATCATCTAAGTACCATAAACTGTCCCTTATAGAACCCTTCTGTAGAACTCTTATAGATCCGGTAAAGGAGCCCTTTAAGGAACTCTACTTACTTAGTCCCATGATCCTCGAAGGCTCGAAGGTGTGCGGATTCGGATTTACGCCGAACCCTCGGGATTACTTAAAGGCTCATGGGACTTAGTAAGTAAGGTTATAACTAGCTTATAATTAGGATAACCCCACTTAGGGGACTGAAAAAAACCAATTATAACCTACTTACTAAGTCCCATGATCCTCTAAGTAACCTAAACTCCCCCTTATAGAACCCCTATATTATAGCTCCCTAAACCCTAAAGGATCCCTTAAAGGAGCCCTTTAAAGGAACCCTACTAAGTCCCGTGATCCTCTAAGTAGGGTTTCACTCGGCTGCCTGCAGAAGCTCGGACTTGGGAGACTACTTCGGGCTCGGGGTTTAGGGTTTAGGGTTTAGGGTTTAGGGGTTTAGGGTTTAGGGTTTAGGGTTTAGGGGTTTAGGGTTTAGGGTTTAGGGGTTTAGGGGTTTAGGGTTTAGGGTATAGGGTTTAGATTTTACGAACCGTCAAAATCTGGCAAAACTCGCGAAAGCGCTATGAACATTAGAAGTGTGGACACATTTCTGCCGAAATCCTAAACCGCTAACCCTGCTAAACTTTAAACCTTAAATCCGCAGCCCTATACGCCACACACCACACCCCAAACCGAGCCCAAACCCTAAACGCCTGACAAATAACGATACAGGCCGTAAAGGAACCCTTCAACCCTAACCCGAACCCTCAACCCCTAAACCCCAAACTCCAAACCATGAATGCTGTGAAACACTGTAAATCCTTGTGGAACTCGAGAAAACCCCACAGCACCCTGAAACGCGGCCTCTACGTGCCGTGGCTTGCGAGAGAGCCAGCGGCCCCCGGCGGCTTCGACGAGCACCTTGGGGTTCCGGGTTTAGGGTTTAGGGTTTAGGGTTATCCAAGGGTAGAAGGAGGGACCCATCATAAGGACCCCTTGGTATATACCCTTAATATAGCTATTATATACCCATTATATAGCCCATTATAGGGTAGGGGTCCCCATTAAGGGTCCCTCCTTTTCCCCTTTTGACTTAAGGACGAAAAGAACCCTAAAAGGGTTTAGGGTTCAGTTACCTTTTTGGGGTTCATAATATAATTGTATGGGGCCCCTTCTCCTCAGGGTCATTTGGTCCTTAAGGTTGGGGGGGGCTCTAAAAGGGCATAAAGCGCTCAGTGCAAGGACCTCAGTAAGTTGTCTTCAGTTTTGCTGTTTCTGATACTTGTATAATTAGACTACGCAGGTTCTGCTTACTAGAGAGGCTAGTAATTAGGTAATAAAGTAGCAAAAACCGCGTGCCTTCGTAGCAAAACAAGGATTCCTGTCTTGTATTGTGCAGTTTCAATCAGTGGGAAGCACGAAACTCAACCGCAACGTGGGTACCTAGATTCTGAGGGCGAAAAGTCTCTAGGGTTTACGACTGGGATTCATGGGTTCAGGGTGCATCAGAAACGCCCCGACGACCCGAGTGTGGACAACTGGGATCGTCCCCTGCTGGGCGCCCAGCACGCATTTCTTTCCTGCCAAGCGCTGGGCGAAAACATGGTTTAAGGCTTTCAGGGGCAGCTAGGATTTTGGTAGAGGGTCATACCCTACCCCATTTTTAGGGTACCCACATTTATGGTTGTAATCTGCTATGCAGAGAAATATCTAACGAAGAACGGGGTACTGTAACTGTATAATATAGAAAACAACAAGGAACCCTACGGAATACTATTCGTAATGATTTAGGCTTCTAATATATTAAGGTATGACCCTCTAGGTAGGGTTTAGGATGAAAGAGACCCCTTAACTTAAGGGATAGAGTCTTAAGTTACTTGAAGGATCATGGGACCTAGCAAGTAGGTTGTAATTGGGATTATAAGTCCCCTAAGTGGGGTTAGCCGAACTATAACCTGCTTAGACCTACTCACTGGCCCAAAACCCACGGAAATTAAAGTTGAAACTTTCAGCATCGATTACCTTATAAGAACCCTAAAAGTTGAAAAGTTGATTTTACAGCCAATAAGACTATAACCATACTTACTAAGTCTTTTAAGGTAGGGTTCCTCAAAGAGCTCCTTTAGGGTTTAATACAGTATTTGTAGGGCCCATATACCCCCCTAGCTTTCATGACGAGGATGATAAGGATGATGAACAAAAGATGGTGGATACCGATGGTGATGGCAATGATGACAGCGATGATGACAACAACGGTGATGATGATGGTAATTATAAAAACGTGGCAATATGGACAAGGTTGCTGCGCAAAGACCTTTTTCCCTATACCGTTTTCGCCCGACAGACCTCCAAGATAATGTCCTAAACTTCAACATCATCGGCCCCACCAGCGTTTTCGCCTTCTCTCGTAACACTGGCTTTGCAGCCCGGTTCCACAAAGCAAGTTCAGGGTGATTCTTCCCGGCACACGAAAAGCCCACTGCTCAACATATTGATGACCATGATGACAACTATGAAAATGATGACAATGAGGAAGGCGATGATGATATCGATTGTGATGGCAATGATGATGACGATGACGATGATATCACTGCTGATAGCAGTAATGATGGTAACGGCGAGATTTGGAGAAGGTTTCTGCACAGGGACCTTTTCCCCCGACAGGTTTTGGCCCCTGCAAACCTCAACAAACTTGTCCCAACCCTCCAAATCATCGGCCCCATCGGCGTTTTCGGTTTCTCTCGTATGTAACTCTGGCTTTGCTGCCGGGTTTCACAGATAATTTTCATTGTGTTTTGCTTGTATTTTGTTGTGCTGGGGCTGGTGCCTTTGTTAATGAAGGAATAGACCTGAAGTTATGAGAGCTTTTTGTACAGGATTTGAGCTACATTCCTTGATCACGGGGTATGGAGGGCTCTGTGAGGAGTAATAATAGCCAAGTTGTCACTCCAAGGGCAAAAGGAGGGACCCTTAATAAGGACCCCTAGGAATATACCCTTAATATAGCTATTATATACCCATTATATAGCCCATTATAGGGTAGGGCTCCCCATTAAGGGTCCCTCCTTTTCCCCTTTAAGTCACTGTAATTCTGCTCACGCAGTTACGAGATCCTGACTTCTAAGCCCTGTTCTAAGCCCTGGAACCCGCAACCCTACGCCCTAAACCCTTATAAAACCCTACGGCTGATGACATACATCCTGCATTACCTGAATGACCCTAGACTATGGGAATGATGGAATTATGGTATAATATTGATGGGTAATGGAGGATTTCTATCATCATACCTATGAGCCCTCAGCCCTGAACTTTCGCTGTGCCCTACTTGGAGGGTCGGGAGACGTAGGAAGTAGGTCAGAAATAGCGTGATAGGTACCTTTAAAGTTGGGGTCATACGTCTATAGAATAACTACTTACTAAGTCCTCGACCCATACTTGGAGGGTCGGGGGACTTAGTAGGGTCCCTTTTAAGGTACTTATAAGTCTACTTACCATCTAGTTACTAAGTTCCCCGACCCTCCAAGTATGTCCTCGACCCATACTTATAGGATCATGGGACTTAGTAAGTAGGTTATAATTGGGGTTATAAGTCCCCTAAGTGGGGTTATCCTAATCATAACCTACTTATAACCTTACTTACTAAGTCCCATGAGCCTTTAAGTACCCTGCACCCTTTCAATCTTCGAGCCCAGCCCTTACACCCCGTAGAGCGCTGAAATCCTAATATAGGGGCCTTAAAAACAAGAATAGGGTTTTGGGGCCGTTAGACTATATTTACAATAATAGGAACCCCCATAGGCTTGAGCTGGGAAGCCTGCAAAATTTAAATGCTTCTGCGCCTTGAAAAGGATCATAGCGAGTAGTCACCCAAACCAAATACCCAGACCCCCGGGAGGATCTAGAAAGTAGATCCCCTAACTTGGGGCCCTATACTACTAAGATCTACTAAGGGTACATTAGGGGAACCCCCATTAAGGATCTACTTTTTGGATCCTGTGGGGGTCTGTGGAATTGTCAACCGTCACTCTGTCAGGATCACGGCTTAGAGCACAGGGATAAGGTTGGGGTATGGGCTTAGGGATTTGGTGGAGTTGCCTGAGGATTTCCAGACATGCAATCCCCGTTCTCCAGTTCATCATCTCATAGAGGTGAACTCATTGGCAGCACAATCTTCGCCGCCTCCACCACCGTAGGTTGGTATGGATTTTGGCGATTAATAGCCATCCAGCACTCCACACACGTCCCCAGGGCCTCCTCGCTGCCGTGGTTCTCCACCGATGTCGGGGCGGCAATGGCCGCCAGCAAGCTGAGAACCCAGTTTCCAACAGCACACTCCTGCGACGGGTCGTGAAAAGTGTCATGATGCTGCCGCAAGTGCTGTGTCTGCTGGTAGCGACAGAAATCCACTTTCCACGTCGGCATGTCCTGACGCAACCGCATGAGCGTGGGGTAGTGATTTCTGATATTATAAACCAGTAGCAGGAAGATCGTCCTTTCAGTCATGGTCCACTGGATGCTGTAAAGCTCCTGCGCGATCCTTGCCGTGAGGGCCGGCACGATGTGGTCCGGTGGCTCGTAGTGGTGCGGCAGCACCTGGGTGGCATGTTGGGCGAGCCCCGGTGTCTCCAGCGCCGTGGCGACTGTCCATGATTGTGTGATCGCTGCATCCTGCTGGTCTCTCGGGGAATCCAGGGAGTCAGACTGGCTAGCAGTGATGGTCGTGAGGGTGAGTCCCACCGGCTCTTCCATCTCCCCTGATCCATGCCTTGTATCCCCCGTTTGTTGAGGCTGTGGCTTTCAGGGGTTTGGGGGTTGGGGTTGTGCTTAAGGGCTCAGCGCACGTAGTAAATCCGGCGAATCATTGGGGCTATAATATCATAAGTCCTCTATAGTAGTATTCCAACTATAACCTCACGCATAACCGTACTTACCAAGTCCCATAAGCCTTGAAGCAGGGTTTAGGGTGCAGGGTAGGGTCACAGACCCAACGGAACCTGCCAAACGCAGGGGTGAGAGCCCGGACAACGTAAGCCTTATAGACTTATAGAACCCTGATGAAGTCGGTTAAATCTCTCCAAGACCTTCGCCCTAAACTCAGTCCCGCCAAAGGCTTTCCTAAACCCTAAACCCTAAACCCTGAACCCCTAAACCCTGAACCCTAAACCCTGAACCCTAAACCCTGAACTCTAAACCCTGAACCCTAAACCCTAAACCTTACGCCCCGAACCCTACGCAAGCTGCCTTTCCGCCGCTGTGCCGCCCGACCAGTGAACGGGCCTCGGAGAAGGAGCGATTCATCTGTTTGGTTCTCAGTAGGGAATGGGAATGGGGGAACGGGTTAAAGGGACTACTATTGGGCATTAGGGCTTCTTAAAAGGATCCATCAGGGTTCTATAAGAGAACTAAGCGATATAGCCTTAAAATATAGTAGGGTCCCTATTATGATTTGAGGAATATCCCTTGATTAAGGGATATTGGAGTCCCTGTGGGCCTTTGCAGCACGCAGTGGGCCTGAATAAATGCCAATACTTTCCTAAGCTGGCTTGTTATGAAAATGCTGTTTTTGTGATACACCCCAAGCCGCCAGGGCACCCCTCTTTCCTACTGGTCAGCTTTAGCAAGTAGACACCAACATCTAACACGAAACACAAAGGGCTCCCAGAGACTCCAATATCACTTACTTAAGGAATATACCTTAAATTATAGTAGGATCCCAATTATGGTTTGAGGACTATTCCATTAATAATATAAATACGGTATACTAGAATCCCTTAAACCCTAAACCCTACACATCCCTAAAGGAACCCTGGGTATTCCTTAAGTAAGGTATATTGGAGTCTTTGGGACCTTGCACTGATGCCCGAAGAATCTTCTGATATAAGTAAATTATATTTAGGATAACGCCACTTAGGGGACTTATAACCCCAATTAGAACCTACTTACTAAGTCCCGTGATCCTCGAAGCAATAAGGGCCGTCATAAGCAGAATAGTCTGTTGGGGTATATTGTATAGATTATATACTCGCACTAATTATCCGACTCCTAAACCTTAATCTTATACGGCACCCCTCCAGCCACTGGACGTCTGAAAAGTGGAAGTACCACTAAACAAAGACATCACTTTCTTGTGATCCGTGCACTTGAAGGGTGGAAGATTGTCATCAAGCAGAATGCTGATGAACAACTCTTTCATTTCACCTTCAGATTCTGTGAATGTCCAGAACTCGAAGGTAGATACTTCCCAATCATCCTTCTTGGCACTGTAGCCAAGTATATCAAAGTTCATGGCTCTTTCACGCACAGTCATAGCTCCGCAAGGCGAGGTTGGGATATCATTGACATGGAGTAAGGCTGCTCTGTCTGCTTGCAGGCATCTGTGACGACCAAAGAACGACTTGTCATCTTCTCCGTCAGGAAGCTTGGCAGACCCGCTAGGTTGAGGTCATCAACGTAGCCAACGGGTGACAGCTGACCAGAAGCGAAGTGCTAGGATCCCTTATACTTTACTCAAGGGCATGGGGACACTGATTTTGGCTTCTACTGTAGAACCCTAGCGAAAATCACAATTTTAGCTGTTTCTTAGGGATTATAATAACCAACAATTAAAAATTATTTCTAAGTACCCCTAAGTGTAACCTAAGCCCTAGACCCCCCTCCAAGGCGCAGGCATACCCTGCAACAGCGAACCCCGGCCCCGAGCAATCTCCAGCGCCTCCTGGCCCGTCGAAGGGACTTCTCTCGGAAAATTATGGCGTCTCAGGGCTTAGGGTTTAGGATTTATTTTTATTTTTTGTGCGCTCTTTTCCGTCTGCACGAGGGTTTAGGGTTTCAGGGTTTCAGGGTTTAGGGTTTAGGGTTCCCCCTGAAGGAAACCTGGGGTTTAGGGTTTCGGAGTTTAGGGTTGGAACGTCATTGTCCCCATGCTCTTAAGGTAGAGTAGATGGCTTATAGTGAACGCCAGAAACCTGGAACTTGGATTTGGGACGATTAGCGCTGGGATTTCCATCTACTTTACCTTCAGGGAATGGGGATAATGATGTTCCAACTTTCTTGCCTCTACTGTAGGGTTTAGAGTTTAGGGTTCGAGGTGAGGGTTTGAGGTGTTAGGGTTTGATTCAGGGTTTTGAATTTCTAACATTCAAGCTTTAGGATTCGGGTTTAGGGATCGGTGCTTCCTTGTATTGTTTGAAGGGGTGGAGGGAGAGGTTGGGTTTGAGACTGGGCTTTTGAGTAACCAGAGAGATAGAAGTATAATTTTTTATTTCATAATGGTTCCTTTAAGAAAAAAGTATTAAATTACCTCCAAAGCCCAGGAGAGTAGGGAAGGTTGGGATTGAGAGTACCTGAACCTACCATGACCTAATTTTTAGTAGTTTTGTATTCTCAGCCCTTATAAGGAGGAGTATATAGGGATCCTGCAAAATAGGTTCTGGTGGGTCAAGGTATGCTTAAGGGTTCAGCATCCGAGATACTTGGGGTTGATCTATACGGATTGCGTTTTGGTTGGGCATAGCAATCAAAGGATCGGAAGAAGTAGTGCTAGTATTCCTCTGTAGTTCCTACGTAAGTATAGTATAGTATACCCCAAGTTCTGCTGTTGCAGTTCTCAGCGGTGCTGCAACAGCTGCTGTTCTAGTTGTTGTGTAGTGGTGGTGAGGGTGGTATACTTTTAACATTCTATACCCCCCATTAAGGTACTTACCTTAAACTACCAAACCCTACTTCTTGTAGGTTCTTATGATAAACCCTAATATGAATTTATACGGGCCCTACAAAAAAGTAGGTTTTGGTAGGTTAAGGTACAACCTGACTTACTACGCCCCATGATCCTCCAAGTCGGGCCTTTGGTTTTGGTTACTGGGCCTCCTCCCCGAGCCCACACCCAGACAGCCGAATAAGCCCCCGAATCAAACTCATAACAGCAAGCCCCACGCCGGCATTCCGCCAACACAAACCTTCAGGGCGAGAAGAACGCTAAAAGGGTTTAGGGTTCAGATACCTTATAGGGGATTCATAATAAAATTGTATAGGCCCCCTTCTTTTAAGGGTCATTTGGTCCTTAAAGAAAACTTTCAATATCCAACTAAGGCGCCAAGCCCTAAGCCCCAAACCATAAACCTGTAAGCCTATAAATGCCAAACCCTGAACCCTAATCCCTGATCCCTACTAGACCTAAGAGTAACCTGGGAATAAAAAGGGTGCCCTTTTTGGTTTAAAGGGGCTTATAAGGGAACCGAAGCCTCAAACAAGGGAATAAGGGCCTACTCTGGGTCCTAGCCTAAGTGCTGAACCCCAAGTCCCAAAACTCGATCTCCGACTCCGGCAATCCTATAGAACCCTTCCAGAACCCTGCGTGAACCCTGGACGAAACCTCATTCATCGATTGAGGATGTAGGATTTAGTTTCAACGACCCTTGAGGATCATGTATAGAGCCGCCATAGAATCTTCGTAGCCCTTGAAGAACCCTTGCCACTAAACCCAAAAGCCTCTAAACCCTGAAAACCCTAAACTTAAACTCTAAACCCTAAAAACCTCCACCCTGAACCCTAAAACCCTCCACCCTGAATCCAAAACTCCAAATACCCTAAACTCTCTGAACCCCGCCTGAAGTGCATAAGACGACAGCGACTGCTTCTCTTGGAAAGCCGCCTGCGACAGGTTTCTAAATTGGAGGCCTCAATTTGGGATTTCAGTTTTAGGATGTAGGGCTTGGGGGGGTTTAGGGCTTACTTAGAGGATCATGGGGCTTAGTAAGTAGGTTGTACTTGGGGTTATAAGTCCCCTAAGTGGGGGCACGGCACATGTAGAATACCGCCATGGACCATTCATTGTCCTCGGCATCAAGGGGAGGCGGTCGTCATAGTCGAGGGCCTTGACCATGTCCTGCTCAGGGTGCCACTTGACGCAGGTCATACGCCTCCTCTTCCTCCTGCACAAGGCCTCCATATACCCGAGACTTCAATATCCCCTAATTAGGGAATACACCTTAAATCATATTAGGGATCCTACTATAATTTAAGGTATATTCCTTAATTAAGGGATATTGGAGTCTCTGGATATGGTCCATCGCCCGGACGCATCTTCTCGAGGGCCTTCTCCATCTCGTGGATCTTCTCAGGAAGGGCCGCTGCTGCTTTCATGCGCTGGTTTGTCTGGCTGAAGGCCTCCCAAAGCTTGCCATCCTTAATGGCCTGGGCCAAAATGCTTGCGAACAGGAACTTATAACCTGCCTTACTAAGTCCCACGAGCCTTAAGTCGGTTTCGGGGATGAAGGTAGCTGGGATTCGGGATGCCTTGACTTATATGGGGTTTCCGAATATTAGGGGTAGCTTATTTTAGGGTCCTTATAATAAGGATCCTACGATGTAGGGTACTATATTAGGGTCCCCTAGTTTCGGAAACTCCCTTGTAAGAACTCTTATTTTGGGATTGTATAACCCCTTACCTTCACCCCACCTTTTGAGGCACTTGAGTTAAAGGGTTCTGAAAGAAAGGTTGCGGGGTTAGGGTTCAGGGCAATTGAGGATCCTGGGTGTGCTTTGAAAGGGCTCTTCAAGAAAGGATGTGGTCTAGGGTTTAGGGTGCTCTTTAATGGTTTCTTAAGGAGAGGTCCCGAGTCAGAGTTTGCAGTTTCATGTTCAAGGTTTGAGGTTTAGAGTTGAGGGGTGACAAGGTTTAGGCTTCGAGTTTGGGCGTCTCAAAAGGGTACTTAAAGGCTCATGGGACTTACTAAGTAAGGTTATAAGTAGGTTATAATTAGGATAACCCCACTTAGGGGACTTATAACCCCAATTATAAACTACATACTAAGTCCCAGGATCCTCTAAGTAGGCTCTGGTTTAAAGGTTTGGTTGGGCTTAGGGTTTAGGGGTGCAGGGTTTAGGCCTGTAGCTGCACAGCGAGTACTTGGAGGGTCGGGGGACTTAGTAACTGGTTATTTTAGGGACTTAGAAATACCATAACCCCCATTAGGGTCCCTTTTAGGGTACTTATAAGTCTACTTACTACCTACTTACTAAGTCCCCCGACCCTCCAAGTAAGGCCCTGTTGGACGGATGGCCCAGTGCATCCGGAAGCCTTAACATCAAAAACACAGACCCTGGATCGCGGCTGCGCTCCCTAAAAAATAATTTGGTTGATTCTCTTTTAGGATCTACTATTTGCTTAAGAACCCCCAAAAAATAAAAAATATATTCCTTATAGGGATAATATAGGGATTATTATTGTTTTATTTTTTGGGGGTTCTTAAGCAAATAGTAGGGATGTTTTAGGGCGTTCCAACCCTTTCATCTGAGACATGTTCCTTTTCTATAAAGCCGTTGTTATTTCGCGGATGCCCTGAAACTTAAACACTTTACCAACGCCCCTAACCCTATTCAACCTCGCCGGCAGCATCGCAGAGAACAAAGGAGCTGCTATCGACAAGCTGCCCCTCGTTCAGGCACCTTACTTGAAACTTGAGGGGGGACTTAGGCCGAGGTTTAAGCGAAGTCAGAATCAGGACAGCCCACTTAGGTAGGTGTACTTCTAGCCCAATTAACACAGACTTTCAAGGTTCAACTCCAACCCCTCAGCTAGCCCTGATGCACAGTTCTAAACCCTAAACCCCTAAACCCTAAACCCTAAACCCCTAAACCCTAAACCCCTAAACCCTAAACCCTAAACCGCGCTTCCTCCGGCGCACACAGAACTCTGACGGATCCCAAACTACTATTTGCTTAAGAACACCCAAAAAATAAAAAATATATTCCTTATGGTGGTAATATAGGGATTATTATTTTTATTTTTGGGGTGTTTCTTAAGCAAATAGTAGCAAACCCTAAACCGATGCTAGAAACGGTGGGCTCCTGGAGAGGTGAAGCTGAGCTACCAGACTTTCTACCAGACTGGAGAGGTGAAGCTGAGCTACCAGACTTTCTACCAGACTTTCGTGTCTCTTAATTCAATAGCTTTAGGTGTTAAAGCGGAGAGGTATAAGGGTTTAGGGTTCAGGGACTCTTACTCAAGGGCTCAAGAGACTTGGCAAGTAACATATATATGTACGGTAATCATTAGGATAGCCCCACTTGGTGGTCTGATAACCCCAATTATAACCCACTCTATACGTCCCATGAGCCCTTACGACACGAAGGATCTCTATTATGCAGAGACTGCAGGTTCTCTTGATGCCTCCCAAAATGAGGGTATCCTTCTCCCTGATATTCAGTTTCGACAAGGAGACTCCAAACAACGGGGCATATCGGTGCTACGGCAGAGGCTGGTAATTATTGTGGATGTCTCTTGCCTGCTGCGCTTGAAGGGGCATTCCTGAATGGCTTCCAAAGTATCGAGGCCAGCGGGGCCATAAAGTTGGAACATACACCAAGGACGAAAAGAACGCTACAAGGGTTTAGGGTTCAGATACCTTCTAGGGGTTCGTAGTAGAATTGTATGGGGCCCCTTCTTTTAAGGGCTTTAGGAAAAAGCAGACATGTTTTGCTGCTTGTGCTGCTGTCCTAAGCTTTGCAGATGAAGGATATCAGGGTTCCAATTTTGTGGGGCTTGCACCCCTACAAACACCAAAGACTAAACCCCCGTGTAGGCTTTGCCTTCATGTAAACCACCAATGCAGAACCTCCCTCCCTCAGTAAGGACTTCAATAGTGCCCTGAATACAAAAGTCCCTGAAGAAGGTTTATCCATAAAGTTGCACCAACAGAGAATCAGATAAGCAAGCTGCACCCCTTTATCCCCGGCCCCTAAACCCTCAACCCTATAAACCCGAAACCCCCAAAATAGCGAAGGTCTTGCCACGATTTCCGGACATCTCCAAAACCCAAACCCAACCCGAAAATACAATTTCAGATCATAGGAAAACCCTAAACCCTAAACTTAACCCCAAATCACTAACCCCATGCCGACGGGGAGTTTCAAAACTTAGGGATCCCTGCGATTGACCCCAAATTATCAGATGGTGGATTTGAGCATTTAGGGTTTGGGGTTTAGGGTTTCGGGTTCAGGGTCTCGTGGAAGAACTAGGATACCCAGTAACCTAAGAATAAAAAGGCCTCTCTTTTTCGTATTGGGTAACTTTATAAGGAACCTAGGACTACAAAAAGGGAATAAGGGTACTACTGGGCATCCTAGCCCCTAATTTTCGGAAACCCTAAACCCTCTATAGAACCCTTATAGATCCCTTTAAGGAACCCTTATAGATCCCTTTAAAGGTAGCCCCTAATAAGGGTACCACTGGGCATCCTAGGGCTTTAAGGACCCATAAACCTTGAACCCCCCAATCTCCCGAAGCTCTAAACTCCAGGCCCTTAAAGGGAACTCCAGAAAGTTGGAATAGGGTTTAGGGTTTAGGGTTTAGGGTTTAGGGTTCAGGGTTTAGGGATTTAGGGTTTAGGGTTTAGGGTTTAGGGTTTAGGGTTTAGGGTTTAGGGTTTAGGGATTTAGGGATTTAGGGTTTAGGGATTTAGGGATTTAGGGTTTAGGGTTTAGGGTTTAGGGGAACTCCAGAAAGTTGGAATATGGTTTCAGGGTAGGATACCTTATAATTTACCATGGAAGGGTTTAGGATAATCAGATTCCAACTTTCTGGCTTTGACTGTAAGCCCTTGTAGCAGCTGTTTAAGGTCACCTTTAAAGACACCCTTTTAATTTTAAACCCAGGACAGCCCAATACCCCTTTATTCAAGAATATACCTTACATCATAATGTAGGAACCTGATTAAGAAACCCTGGGCCTATAACCCCAAAATAACAGGATTCATATAAGGAACCCTGATAAAGGCCCAAGGTTTCTTAATCAGGTTCCTACATTAGCATTAAGCCCCTGACTTGCAATTAGGGTATGTTCCGTATATGAGGGGTCTCGGGCTGTCTGGGAGGATTCACAGAATCCTTGAAACATAGCACTCCATGACAGTGTGGCGCTGAGGTTCGGGCGCGTCCAAGAAGCCCGGGACAACGATCTGACATCCGTTGCACACCGCGCACATCATCTTCGTGGTCCTGTTCTTGAGTGTACATAGAGGATCATGGGACGTAGTAAGTAGGATATAACTGGGGTTATAAGTCCCCTAACTGGGGTTATCCGGATTATAACCTACTTATAACCTGAATTACTAAGTCCCACGCGACTTTAAGTAGAGTTTAGGTTTGAAGGTGTAGGGTTTAGTTTAGGTTGCAGGGATCAAAGCCAGTTTAGGATCTGGGGTTTTGGCGGTCCTGAACTGCTCCCACATGGTTTTAAGAAACGGTTTTGATAGGACTCACAAGGGTGTGACACAGCTTTCTATTGTAAGGATCTATCATGAAAAGAGTTAAGAATGAGAATTCTGCTCCGTGTGTGCAGGTTAGGGTGCGTGGTGTAAGGTTTGTGGTTGAGGGTGTGCTTACAGGATCACGGGACTTAGAAAGTAAGGTTATAAGTAGGTTATAGCTAGGATGCCCCAACTTTGAGGACTTATAACCCCAAATTATAACCTACTTACTAAGTCCCATGATCCTCTAAGCCTCTACGTAATCTAAACTCCTCCTTATAGAACCCTTCAGGAATCCTTTAGGGGAACCTTTTAGGAAAACCTAGTTGCTAAGTCCCGCGATCCTTTAAGTAGCTCACTAGAGTTCACCAGAACCCCCCTCGATCTTTCGGGTTTAGGGTTTAGGGCTTAGAGGCCCCTTTAAGGGGACCCTATTCTAGAGCCGAAAAGTAGCCTCAAGAGGGACCCTACTATAGAACCCCACAGTACCCTTTATTAATTTATGGGTGGTTCTTTAAATTAGGATCCCATTTAGGCTCCGTTTCATACGGGGCGCCGTACTATTATTTGGGGCCTAAGAAGGAACCCTGCTCAGTTTGCTGGCCCTACCTTAAGGACGAATGAACCCTAACAGGGTTCAAGGTTCAAATACCATATAGGGATTCATAGTATATGGGTAGAGGGCCCCTACTTTTGAGGGTCATTTGGTCCTTCAGGTATATGAACCCTAAGCCCTAAACCCTATATGAAGTGTACATGAACAGCCCAAACAGCAGCTGCAAGGCCTGCGGAACTCGCTGGCAACGATGTGTGTGACCTTCGGCGACCACTCGTCCACAACCTCGGCGGAAGAAAGACAAAGGCTGAGCTTCCAGTTTTTACAAGCCTTAATACATATTGGATTGGCGTTTTTATGGAACATTGTACACAGTAAATACGGTTGGGTAATAAATTGAGGATCTCTTCGGCCCTACGGAATATGTAACGGTTAACGTTCAACCTCCAGTACTACGTTCCAATGCTGCCCGAGACTTTCAAAAGAAAGTTTTCGGGCCTGCTGTTTAGGATGCGAAATACGCACCCTAAACCCCATGAGGCCTAAAAACCAACCTTTCTCATATTATTAAGCCATATAACGGTCAAAAAGTGGTAGTTCTGTGGTTTCGATCGCTTTTGAGGTGTAAGTCTCTACATGGGTAATTAAGTACTGCTTGGGGCACGTCTTCCTGCATCCTTCTTGCAGGGTCGGGGGACTTAGTAAGTAGGTAGTAAGTAGACTTATAAGTACCCTAAAAGGGACCCTAATTGGTGTTATGGTACTTTTTAGTACTTATAAGTCCCTCAAATAACCAGTTACTAAGTCCCCCGACCCTCCAAGTGCATCCTAAAAACCCTGAACTCCAGACCCATATCCTACTGACCCGACTTGCCTTCAACCCGACTGTATGGGTGGTTGTCAGAATTGGAGTCCCTTTTTGAGAACCCTAAATAATAGGTGCCGTATTATAATAATGAGCCAAAAAGGGACCCTAATTTTGACAACTGCCCATATGAAATTGAGTCTGTTGCTGTGGTTACGTAGACAAAGCCTGGGCTACAAGCACAGATACAAGTTCGTCTGGCTCAGCAGTACAGTCCATATGCCCAAACATGGAAGCTTCACTTCCAATTCAGTGCTTCGGGTTGGCAATGCGTCTAACTCGAGGGCAGAGCGCCACACTGCAGCTGCAAACACAAACGAATCGCAGAAATAGGCTTGAGGCTGAGAGCTTACCCCCCTTTTTCCGTAGAGGAGTGGGTCACTCTTGAGTAGCAGCACCAGCTGCCCAGACCCCGGGGAGGATCTAGAAAGTAGATCCCCTAATTTGGGGCCCTATACTACTAAGGGTGCTTTAAAAGGAATCCCCATTTAAGAGATCTACTTTTTGGATCCTCCCCTAAGCCCCAAACCTTAAACCCTAAAACCCTATAGATCCCTTAAAGGGACCCTTAAAGGAACCCCCCATTAAGGGATCTAGTTTTTGGATCCTCCCGGCGGGTCTGGGTAAGTACCACACGCCCTTTCTAGAAGCTTCTCACACTCGTAATCGGCTGCCCGAGTAGCCCTAAACGTAGGGTTTAGGGTTTAGGGGGTTTCTGGGTTTCGGGTTAAGGAGTTTCGGGTGTGGGGTGTCGGGGTTTAGAGGGTTTCTGGGTTTAGGGTTAAGGGGTTTCGGGTTTAGGGTGCCGGGGTTTAGGTGTTTTCTAGGTTTAGGGTTCAGGGGTTTCGGGTTTAGGGTGTGGGTTATAGCCCCAATTACGATCTACTTACTTAGTCCCATGATCCTTTAAGTAACCTGAACTCCCCCTTTTGGAACCCTTATAGATCCGTAAACCCTAAAGGCTCCCTTAAAGGAGCCCTTTAAAGGATCCCTACTACTTATAACTCTACCTCTTATCTACTTACTCAGTCCCCAGATCAAGGAATACAGCCTTAAGGTAGGTTCCTTAAGGGCTCCTTGAAGGGGTTTGTCAGGGCTTGTATACCTAAGTAACCTAAACTCCCCCTTATAGAACCCTTATAGAGCCCTAAACCCTAAACCCTAAAAGATCCCTTACAAGAACCCTTGAAGGAACCCTTACTACTTGGAGGGTCGGGGGACTTAGTAACTGGTTATTCTAGGGACTTATAAGTATCATAACCCCAATTAGGGTCCCTTTTAAGGTACTTATAAGCCTCCAAGTAAGTCCCATGAATACCTCCCTAAACCCTAAACCCTAAACCCTACCCTAAGTACGCTCGAAGCCTCAGCAACAACTTCAGGGCTCCAGTCTCCAGGTCCTAAGTTCTACTTCAAGGCTCATGGGACTTAGTAAGTAGGGTTTAGGGCTCCTTTTTAAGGGTACCACCAGGTTCTATTATAGGGCTCCCTTTAAGGGTTTAGGGTTTAGGGTCTACTTAAAGGCTCATGGGACTTAGTAAGGAGGCTATAATTACGATAACCACGCTTAGGTGACTTATAACCCCTATTATTACCTACCTACAAAGTCCCATGAGCCTTTAAGTAGGCTCAGACCTAAGCCCGAACTCCCTTCGTCCACACAACCCCCTAGTAGCCCCTGAAGAAAGATTAGTATGCTTTCTCCGAAAGCTCAAGTTTTCATATTCATATGGCCCTAAGGGTAATAACTGGAGGAGAATAGGGCTTTACTCACCCCAAAAGGGTCTCATGCGGCCTGTTTGAAGCAATCTAGTCTCCTGCCCTCCCCCTCCTTACTCTCCTAAGTGTCCTTATGAGCCTTAAGAGCTTTAACCAAGAGACCCTGCTCAGAACAATCTTCTGCCCTTTAGAACAAGCATGGGCTTCACCACAAAGTAGGTTAAGGTAGTGTAGGAGCCTAAATAATTACCAATCCTAGTTTGGGGGTTTGTGGTTCCTTATCATAAGTACAGCAGAGTGGGCCTCAAAACTCTATTCTAATCTCACTGGCCCAAAACCAAAGGAAATAAAAGTTGAAACTTTCAGAATCGATTACCTTATAAGAGCCCCAAAAGTTGAAAAGTTGAGTTTACAGCCAATATGTAATTACTAAGGCCCCTGCATGAATCAAGCATTGAGGTCCTGGCCCGGGCACCAAGAGTCTTCTTGATTGAACTTCGCACGTGCTTGTCGAGGACCTCGGAGAATCCATCGGGGGCTTTCTGGAAGCTTCCTAGCATCGTACAGGACTCTACTGGGTGTCGATTTCGATAATCCCTGAAAAACATGTATAACTAGGCTCTATGTTAAACAATAAGGGACACCAAGAATTCCCTTCAATCGATACCTATTCTATGTAGGGGTTTATATGTGGGGTTCTTTTAGATATGGGTTCTGTAACGGCTTAGCAAAGGGTTCTGTAACAGGGACTTCCTAGCCTGGCTTCACAGTTCCTTGGCCTCGTGGTTCTAGAGTTTGAGATCTTTTGTTGCTTTGTGACTTGGCCTTTTGGGATTTAGGGTCTGTTCGGGCCACAATAGGATTGTCAACAGGCTCTCTGGTGCCTACTCAAGCTCATAAGCGAAAGGTTCCGGGCTGGGGTGTCGGTTTAAGTACGCGGCATCGTTCTACAATGGCTCCTGTGGGATCGCCGGGGTATTGTGGTAAGGCCTACTTGGAGGGTCGGGGGACTTAGTAAGTAGGTAGTAAGTAGACTTATAAGTACCCTAAAAGGGACCCTAATTGGGGTTATGGTACTTATAAATTCCTAAAATAACCAGTTACTAAGTCCCCTAAACCCTAAACCCTAAACCCTTATAGAATCCCTATAGATCCCTTTAAAGGACCCCTTTAAAGGAACCCCCTTATGGTTACTAAGTCCCCCGACCCTCCAAGTAGAGAAGGTTGGACCATGATGATCGTCCTGGGCGTAAAGATGTCCTAAAGGAGAGGGGCTCTAGTAAAATAGCACCGTACCCAGAAAGGTTAGAGTGGTAACCTACCCTACTTCTAACCCAAAGAACCCAATACCCCTTAAGTGATGTAATATAGCTTACATCATACTGCTGATGGACAAAATCCTGCATGACCCTAAGGACTCTAAACTATGGGAATTATGGTATATTCCTTATTCTGGGTAATGCAGGATTTTGTCCATCAGCAGTAGTGTGACGTCACCTACTCACTTCCCTGCTGAAGCCGATCGAAGCAGCAACTCTTGAGCTGCTGACCAGTCCCGTGGTCGCAAAGCACACTTGCTGCCTTAGGGTTTAGGGTTTAGGGTTTAGGGGACTTTCAGGCTTAAAAGGTTTCGGGGTTTAGGGTTTACAGTAGGGGATTAGGGGCTTAGGGTTGAGATGGGGCATGGAAATTAAGGTTTTAGGTTAAGGGGGGATGATTATGTGTTAGAGTTCCAAGTTAAAAAGATTTACTTAAGAGGGTAAGGGTTTTGTGTTGTGACACATACTTCTGCTGTGGCAACAGCTCAAACCGAAACCGTCTCGTACCTTTTTCTATCAAGGGGGTGTATAGCAACCTACAGAGCTGAAACTACTTCTTTCTACTCCTGACGCCTTGGTTTAACTCTGCGAACACTGCATAAATCTACGACAACACCTGTGCAAACTTCAAGCACTTAGGCCTTGGTCTAGGGGGAACATCTGCAACTGTTCAGGCTTTGCACCGAAACCCCAAATCTTAAAGCCCCTATAGATGCCCTGTAGTAAGCCTGCGAGAAACCCTGCGTCTTGTGCAGGCCGAATTGCGCTTTGGTCTTGCGCTGCGGGGCCTTTTTCTTGGCATCCTTCCCAAGAAGAGCGCAGGGCGGGCTCGCGGTCATAGGTGTTGTTATCATGTTGTAAATGTAGGGGTTATAGTGCGTTTATGTACTTTTCGAGGTTTCTTGGTCTCTCTAAGAGTTCTGTAGCTCAGGTGTTTAGGGTAACTTGTGTCAGTTTTAGGACTGAGCGCTTTGGACTTAAGACATTGGCGTCTCAGGGCGTTGCTATGATCCTGGAAATAGCTCCGGACCCATAGAGCCCGATACCCTTATTTGAGGAATGTACCTTAAACTATAAGGGGCTTCGTTTTATGCGTTAAGCTAGATGCTTTAATTAAGGAGCAGGGGGCTCTTTGGAAAACAGCTTCACGAGAACTAGCTCGAGCCGTACAGGCCCGACCCAAGTGGGTAACCAGAAAGCTCAGACCCCTCTATTAGGAATACCTGGACGCTGAAGAACCTACCTGTTTAGGGCTCCTTATGATTTCCTTGTATAGGTCCTTAAACGGGTGGGTCATCCAGGGTACAGGTATAGATTAACTCATAATCTGGAGCCCCCTCTCTGGGTATATCATATTCCATAATCGGACAAATCCCGAGTTTTCAACCCATGTAAAGGCCTGCAACCATGTAAGACCCTGCGCAACCCCGATTCAGACATCTTCCAAAACTTCGAGCACCACAGAAGCTTGTAAAACCTGCGCAAGAACACGAAACTCCCATAATAAATCCTCAAAACCAGCTAGCTACCACAAAGCCTATCAAACCCTAAACCCTGATCTGTGCTCCTTTCGGCCAGTTGTGCGGCTGCGAGGTGCTGCCCCTCGCGAAAGTTACGGTCAATATTGCTAGCTCCACATGGAGGTACCGAATAATAGAATGTAGGTGCCCTAAGAAGTAGAATGGGGTTTTCGAGTGTATAATACAGCACTAACGATATCGGGACTGTACAGAGGATTATCGCATGAGTCAATTATTCAACACTGTATACGATGGAGTTCGGCTCCTCTGCTGGGTCCTCCGACTTGTGCCGCGAGTGCTCCTCCTCATCTGCATGTGGCACGCTCAATTCCTCCTCCTGCCGCGGCGGCGGGGCCACGATACCTCGTTCTGCCTATACCTTCTGCAGCCTGGCCTCCATAACATGAGAATGCAATTTACTGCATTGCAGGCAGTCCTTCTCAGCTGCTGATTATGATTGGGCTATGCCCTCGGTCAGTTACTATACTTACATGCCCCCGCCCCATCCAGGTGGCGGAGGAGGCACTTCGGCAAGCTGGGAGTCGTCCTCCAACTCCGCCTCTTGCGGAAGTCTTCCAGCATCTTCTTAGTTCTCCGCTCCTTCTCTTCCATTTCGGCTTTGGACATGAATATCGGCGTTCCGAAGGGCGACTGCTGTGACGGCGACTGCTGTGACGACAGTCGCTGTGACGACCGCCGCTGTGACGACCGCCGCTTGGACACCCTTGGATTTGAGGGGTGCTGAAAAAAGCTGTACAGGATTTTATGGGTGAGTACCGAGTTATAGGGACTTTGAAACTGGGCGGTTTTATACAGGGCTATGACCCCAGTATAGCATCCTGCCTCCCCCGAAACGAGGCGCTAGATTTCGTCATATTGACTGACTGTAGTCCGTCTGATGGGTAGCGGGATTGTAATGTAGGAAGCAGCGGTGCTTATCTATCGCGGCCTTTCCGGGCCAGCTCCGCCAGTCAAACCTTCCTCCGTGAACGAAGATGTTGGGGTCGGTCTCTAATCCTTAAGGACGAAAAGGACCCTAAAAGGGTTTAAGGTTCATATGCCATATAGGGATTCATAGTATATGGGTATAACACCTTAAGGACGAAAAGGACCCTGAAAGAGTTTAGGGTTCATATACCTTACAGGCATTCATAGTATAATTGTACAGGGCCCCTACTTTTTAAGAGCCATTCGGTCATTAAGGATCCATAGGCCAAAATCGCCTTGCCAACCCCAGAAGTGTGAGGCTCTAAAACGAGCGGTATGGAATGCTTATCAACGCACGGTCACATGGATTACTCTCGGCTTTGGCATTCGTTGGGGTTTGTTCAAATGGGGCTTACCCAAACGATTATCACACATACCTACACACCATAGGGTTAACTACGCTCACGAATGAGAAGGAGGCGAAAACACGTCTGATTTTGTGACGGCTCCTACCAGCAAGCCACATCAACGAACATGCATAATACCTAAGTTCCTGCGTAGCCCCTTTTGGTAAGGGTTCCCTTTTTCCCATTATTCGGATGTATTCAGGAACCTAGAAGCAAAAAGGGCAAAGGGGTACTACTCAGGAACCTACATAACCCTAAACCCCTATAGATCCCTTTTAAACCTAAACCCCTATAGATCCCTTATAGATCCCTTTAAGGAGCCCTTTAAAGAACTCCGGAGATCATTCTAAAGGTTCAGGGCTGAGAAAAGCGTCTGTTGTCAGTCTTGCATATCTCGGCTATGGCTTGGGGAATGAGGGTTCCTTTAAAGGGTACTACAAGGGTTCCTTTAAAGGGATCTACTATAGGGGTTCCTTTAAAGGGATCTCGGCACGCTTCGCCTGCCTCCCACAAAAGCTCGGCTGTTGCACCAAATATGCAGGCCGCCAATGATTTGTTTTGAACAAAGCAACCACCGTGTACTTCCCCTACCTTAAGGACCAAATGACTCTTGAAAGTAGGGGCCCTATACAATTATACTATGTATCCCTATAAGGCATATGAACCCTGAACTAATTCAGGGTTCCTCTCGTCCTGAAACCCTAAAGCCTACAATAACACCCATAATCACCCTTATAGGAACCCTTCAAAGGAACCCCAAATGGAGCCCTTTTAGGGGTTTCTTTTCGTCCTTAAGGTCTTTAAGGTTGGTGTACTTCCCCTACCGGCCCGGAACCCCGCACCGAATCCCGACCCTATACCGAACTTAGAACCCTAGCCAAAATTATAATTCGAGCTGTTTCTTAGGGATTATAATATCCAAAAATTAAAAAAGTATTTCTAAGTACCCCTAAGGAACCACCGCAAGACCTGGTGAAGCAAGGGCTTACATAAGACATGCCTGGGTTTCTACAGTCAGGGCTTGTGGTTTGGGGTTTATTTGGGGATCAAGGTTGAGGGCTACGGATTCAGGGTGTTTGATGCAAGTTTCCAGGATTGTACCAATTAGGCTCCATATGGCTTGGAATAAAAGTTTTCTGAACCCCCCCAAGTAGACGTGCCGAAAAGGCCTCGTGGCGGCGCAGAGCAGACTGGCCACCTCAGGCTGCTAGGGTTGAAGGTTTAGGGTTCTACCCGAGTGTTCTACTGGGTTTTCATGATTGTTCTACGGGTTTAGTGGAGGTCGGGGGGCTTAGGGTTTACGGGATTTAGGGCTTGAGGTTTTACGCCATTTTCACCTTTTTTGTCAAAGGGCCCTACCCATGACAAATAACATAGGCAACCTACAAAACCGTCCTCCAAAAATATGCATAGGTGGCTTTCAACTTTCGATTGCTGGGCAATTCTTGACCCTCTTCAAAAACGTCATGTTTTAACGTGCCCCATATCCCGTAGTTTCCTGTTTCATACTAGTCAGTTTTCAGAAGGGGGACCCCAAATTTTGGTGTAAAAGGCTACTACTTGGGAGAAGCTGCGTGGAGCCGGAAACCCTAAAATCCCTACATCATAACCCTGCACCCTAAACCCTAAGGCCTCAATCATGCCTAAGAAAGCCTTGCTAAACAGAGACCATTGTCAAAAAGAGCCAGGATGGGCTTTTGAGGTTGCCAGTAAGTCTTGCGATGGTATACACAAAGCATCACAAAGCCCTATACAAAACCCTACTTCCCAAGCATATCTCGGGCTTCACTGGCAGGGCAGGACGGGTATAGACCTTGCTTAAACTAAGTTGCCCAGAGTACCCTGTACCCTCTGTCCCGTCATTCAGGATTAAGGGGGGACCCTAAAGTAGAAGGGGCAAAAGAGAATAGTGGGAACCTCGTAAAATGCTGCTGTAGAGTTATCGAGCGGGGCGGGAGAACCCCTGTAGCACGCTTTATGCCAGAACCTCAACCAAGGACCATCATATTCCAAGGCTCTGAACCGAAGCAAAACCCTGAAACCGCCAAGCTCCAGCCCCTAAAGCCAACACCTAAACCCAAATAGCACCGCGAAAGAACCATGGAAGGAACCTTTACTATACTGAACTTAGAACCCTAGCAAAAACTGTAATTATGGCTGTTCCTTAGGGATTATAATAACCAAAAACTAAAAATATTTCTAAGTACCCCTAAGTTTAAAGGAACCCTAGACACTGGGTCCAGCGGCGGGTTCGGCACAGGAGGCGGCTGCTTACCGATCAGCTTTCGCCGCTTTGGCTCGGGAGGTTCATCCTGGGGCCATCAGGACCGTCGGGGCTAATGTAGGGGCCTTACTGCAAGGATCATGGGACTTAAGCAAGTAGGTTATAATTGGGGTTATAAGTCCTCTAAGTGGGGTTATCCTAATTATAACCTACTCATTGCCTGACTTACTAAGTCCCATGAGCCTTCAAGTAATAATACGAGTGATGAACCTCGGTGTAACGGGGTTTTGGGTTTGGGCTTTGAGGTTCAAGTTTAAGGTTGAAGGTTTAGGGGTTTACGGGGGTTTCCAATGTAAGGCTCAGGGTTTAAGGCCTGAACAATTCATTTCCAGCCGTTTCCTCCTGTAGTCCGTGTGATACTCGTATACTATCCCGCTCCCTCAAACTCGTAGTCTGACTTCAGGCGACCGCATTATTGAAAGGCTGAAGCCGTGTAACTCTGGTTCGAAGTAAGTGTGGTAATCCGGAGTGTGGAGTGTTGTGGTGTCGGAGATGGACCTGTGGGTGGAAGAAGGCCGGATCTTGGCGACATTGGTGGTGCAGGGGCGTTGGCAGCCTGGGAAGCACCAGCTCCGCCCAAGTGGCGGCCGTCGCTGGCCAGGCAAAGTTTGTCGGATGTGAAAGACCTTTGCCCTTCGCCGAGGCGTTTGCGAAGCTAATGATTGCAATTGATGCTGCGAGCTCGCCTTCAATTATGCAACTTGCAAGAAGTTGAAAGTTCCCGTCCTTAACCACAAACCATAAACCTTGAACCCCTAGACCCACTTACATCTAATCTACTCACTAAGTCAGTTAAAGCTCATATCGGGTCACCTGAAGTAAGGGTGCCTCTAACTATGGCTTCCATTCAGGTAAAGGGGTTGAGGGTTTAGGGTTTAGGGTTTAGGGTTTAGGGTTATTCCCACACAACTCTAATGATAAAGGCACCTCTTCGTCAAGTATGATTCAAAATCCCCCTCGTTCGTGACATAAATGCCCAGGCTACAAGGCTTTTCGGCTGCGGGGTTCGAAAATGGATTCAGAATTGTTGTATAGGCTCCATATGTGCTTGCGCGATTTTCCTTCCCAATCCAGTTATCGGCAAATAGAACTCTCTTTCTTTGCAAAAGTTACACAAGTTTCTGACAGCCTTGAGCGACTCAGCTTTGAATGTAAACTGGCGTAGAAAGTCGCTTGGACTTCTCTTTGAACTGGCCAAGAACCCTAACCCTAAACCCCAGACTCAAACCGAAACCCCTTTCCGATTGTTGGGGTTGCGGGTTTCGCGGAGATGCTGCACAGAATGGAGTTTGCAGGTTGACGGTGAGGGGCTTAGGAGTTTAGGGTTTGAAGTTGCGGGTTAAAGGTTTAGGGCTTCAGGGGTTTACGGCGGTTGAGGGGCCTGCAATTGCCTTGGGCCTGCAGGTGATCAATCCCACAGAAAGATTAAATCAAAGTGGAGCGAACAGGTGTCTCCAAAACTCCTCAATGAAGCAACGTACATTCGTCTGTCGGGGGTTGCTGAATGCGATTCAATTAATATTGCTTGCAGGTCCTTCAATTCAAAAAACCATATAAAACCTTTGTGGAACATGATCCTTCTAAAACCTTGTAAAACCCTAAAGCCTCACACCCAAAAGCTTGTAAAACTCTTACCCTAGGATGCCCAGTAACCTAGGAATAAAAAGGGCTTCCTTTATGGGTATTGGGTACCTTATTAAGGAACCTAGGACTACAAACAGGGAATAAGGGTACGACTGGGCATCCTAGTAAGCGCATGACCAAGTCAGATAAACCCAAAAACTTGTAAAACCCTAAACCCTAAACCCTAAATCTTAAACCCTAAACCCTAAATCCTAAACCCTAAACCCTAAATCCTAAACCCTAAACCCTGATCTTATCGGGGTTTCGAGTCTTTGGGAGAAGCCTTGGGATCCGAAAACCTACCGTTTTAAGGGTTCTACCCTCTAATTAAGGGGTCATACCCGGCATACCCTACTATTTAGTAGGGTTTGGAGTCACAGGAGGAGCCTCCACGGTGATAATGGTGCTGCTCCGGCGTTTCGCAGGGCTTCTCGCCTGGCTCTTGGGGCCTTCTTTGGGACTACGCTTTAGGGTTTAGGGTTTTTAGGGTTTAGGGTTTAGAGTTTAGGGTCCAGGGTTAAGGGTTTGGGGTTTTTAGGGTTTTTGGTTTTTTTGGTTTCGGGTTTGCTTAGGTCTTGGGGCTTAGGGGTCCTTTAAATGGATCTATAAGGGTTCTATAAGGGTTGTATAAGGGTTCCTTTGAAAAAGAGATCTATACGGGTTCAAAAGGGGGATAGGGTTTCGGGGTTCAGGGCTTCGGGTGTGGTGATTAGGGGCTGACGGGGTCGGGTTTTGGGCTCTGCTTTCGAGGAAAGCGGGCCTGGGTGGTGCAAGGGCTCCATCCCCAACCCTGCAAATCCACCCAGAGAGCCCAATACCCCTTCATTGAGGAATACCCGTAATTAGCCGAAAAGACCTACCTTTTTAGGGTTCCTTATTATGGTTTCTATATATAGTCCCTTACATAGTTCGGTCCCTTTCGGCTACAGGTATAGCTTAAAGCAGAGCATGAGGCCCTAAACCCTAGACCCAAAACCCTAAATCGTTCTAATTTGAGGTATATGCCTTAAGTGCGGGGTCTGAGTCTCTGTGGGTACTCCAAAGCCACCAAACTGTCCGGAAAGAAGACCCTAATTAGAGGATCATGGGACTTAGTAAGTAGCTTATAATTGGGGCTATAAGTCCCCTAAGTGGGGTTATCCTAATCATAACCTACTTATAACCTTACTTACTAAGTCCCACGAGCCTATATAAGTTGACCCTAAACCCCTAAACCCGTAAAGGGAACCTATTCTAGAACCCTACAGTACCCTTAAAAGGGACTCCTAAGCCCTCTACTTACTATGTCCCATGAGCCTTTGTATAGAGATGCAGGGTAGACCGAAATACTTACTTCCCCAACAAGCCACAGAAATAAAGGTTAAACTTTCCGGTTACTAAGAACCCAAAAAATTCAATGGTTGGGTATTTGGGAACTAGGAATATGCCTTAAATTCTAAGGAGCTTCATACTATGGTTTAAGCTACACTTCCTCTATCGAGCTCTCTGGGAACCTTCAAACCAAACAAGAGAGGCCGGAGGGGCCGGTGTTGCGACGTTTCGGCCTCTGGGCACGATGTCCGCCGGCGTGCATGCCTGCTTGGAGGGGCAGGGGACTTAGTAAGTAGGTTATAAGTAGGGTTATAAATGTGGTAACTCCATTTAGAGTACTTATAACTCTACTTATAACCTACTTACTAAGTCCCCTGCCCTTCCAAGTGCCCAAAAAAATCGAAGTCTCTGGGCCATGTGCCCTCCTGACTTCTGTTTGATGGACTTAATACAAGAGCACCGAAAGACGCAAGATAGGAGCCGGAAAAAATGGCGTAGGGTTTTGGGGTGCTTTGTTAAAATATGATTAACTATATTATCAAGAAGACCTGAGGAACCCTATAGGTAACTGTTGTCATCAGAAATCACTCCCAAACTTGTGAACCCTCAACACAGGGGAACGCAACTTCAGCACGGCGGAGCACATGACAGGAGCTTTTACAGGCCTTGGGTTCAGGGTTTAGGCTTCAGGGCTCTTCGGTTCTGGGGTCCCAGAGACTCCAATATCCCTTAACCTTAAGTTATAATAGGATCCCTAATATGAGTTAAGGAATATTCCTTAATTAAGGGATATTGGAGCCTCTGGGGTTTCGGCATTTAGGATTCCAAGGTTTAGCGTTGGCACCTCACAGTGGTCCCACTTCTGGTCAGGGAACTGGCCTCCAAAATTGCATACCCTCAACCCAAACACCCGGCAACCTAAGCCCAACCACAATACTAACTATTTGGGCCTTGATTATTAAAATGGGGTTTCGGGGCCCATTATGCTATATTGAGAATAAGGCGCCCGAAAAATAGTATAAGTAAGTATTTAGGCCCCTATGGTACACAATCCTTAGTTTCTTCTGGACGTTTTTGCTCGACCTTGAAAAACCGAAGTGCGTGTTTATGTGGTTTTCAAAACTTACACCCTGCACCCTAAAGCCTACGACCCTTGCAGGAACCCTGTGTAGAACCCTGCAGCCGTAAACCCTAAACCCTTAATCCTCAACTTGAAACATGCAACACTAACCCTAATATAGGAGCCTAAATAATTACCTATACCATTTTGCGGGCTCCCATATTATAATAGTATAATATGATGGGCCCCAAAACACTATTCTAACTATCAAGGCACCTAAAATTCAGCCCTAAATCCGGAACTTAAACTTAAAAACCGTCAACACTAAACCCTAAGCCCTAAATCCGAAACCCTGAAGTTTTGAAACCCCTCAAGACTAAACCTAAAACCGTAAGGAACCCTCTAGCATCAGGGGTTCCAGCCTCTTCTTTTGGAGCTTCGGCGATTGGTGCTGCTTTCACCTTGGATCGGCTCCCGTCGAAAAGCCCGATACTCCTTAGTTGAGGAATAGAACTTGCTCCTTTAATAAGGTTCAACGGGTTTTGTGTCACAACATAAAGGCCCTAATACTTTATGATACGAAAAGAATCTCATTTAAGGGACGAGACGGCTTGCAGAAAGTCGTGCCGAGAGGGCGACGGGCCAACACCATTCATGTGTGAAGCTGCTGCAGGTACGAGTTGGGGCATTGATTACTCATAGATACGAATAGTACTGGTACTAGCAGTACTAGTATGAGCAGTACTAGCACAGTCGTCGTCGCATAGAAGAAGAGAATTGGTAGTAGGTGGTGGTGGTGGTGGTGGTGGAGGTGGTGGTGGTGGTGGTGTGGTGGTGGTAGTCGTCGCAATAGTGGTTGTGGTAGAAGTAAAGTCGAAGTGGTGGTGGTGGTAGTGGTGGTTGTGGTGGTGGTGGTAGTTGCGGTCGTGGTAGCGGTACTGGTGCTGGTACAGGCAGTAATAGTAGTAGTCGTAGTAGTAGTAGTAGTAGTAGTCGTAGTCGTAGTAGTAGTCGTAGTCGTAGTAGTAGTAGTAGTAGTAGCAGGAGTAGTAGTAGTAGTAGTAGTAGTAGTAGTAGTAGTAGTAGTAGTAGTAGTAGTAGTGGTGGTGGTGGTGGTGGTGGTAGTGGTAGTGGTGGTAGTAGCAGTAGCAGTAGCAGTAGCAGTAGCAGTAGCAGTAGCAGTAGCAGTAGCAGTAGTAGTAGTAGTAGTAGTAGTAGTAGTAGTAGGAGTGGTAGTAGTAGTACTAGTAGTACTAGTAGTAGTAGTAGTAGTAGTAGTAGCAGTAGTAGTAATAGCACTAGTCAGTAGTAGTACTACTACTAGTAGTAGTACGTACATACGTACGTACGTACGTACGTACGTAGTACGTAGTACGTAGTACGTAGTACGTAGTACGTAGTACGTAGTACGTAGTAGTAGTACGTAGTAGTAGTAGTAGTAGTAGTAGTAGTAGTAGTAGTAGTAGCAGTAGTCGTAGTAGCAGTAGTAGTAGCAGTATCAGCTTGATTACCTTTGTAGTAGTAGTGGCAGTAGTAGCAGTAGTAGCAGTAGTAGTAGTAGTAGTAGTAGTAGTAGTACGTAGTAGTAGTAGTAGTCGTCGTCGTCGTAGTAGTAGTAGTAGTAGTAGTAGTAGTAGTATAGAGTAGATCCCCTAATTTGGGGCCCTATACTACTACGGGTACTCTCCCGGGGGTCTGGGTGGTTCAAGATGATGGAATCAAAGCGCAGGTAACGCGTAGACTGAAGAGACCCGGAAGGACCAGATGACCCTTAAAAGTAGGGGCTCTATACCCATATACTCTGAATCCCTATATGGTATATGAACCTTAGCCTTAAACCCTTTTAGGGTTCATTTCGTCCTTAAGGTGTGTCTCGCCGTGCTGAACAACTACTTACTAAGTCCCACCCGGTCCTCGTTATAGGAGCCTAAATGATCCCTTTGAGGAACTCTTTAAGGAGCCGTTTGAAGAACTCTATTTCCTAACTCCCCCGACCCTCCCTAAACATCCCTAAACCCGAACCCTCCAGATAAGTACACCCCAGCCAAGGCTGAGCGCGTTCCGCTGTTGACCGGTGCGGACAGGCGGAGGGGGCGGCAGCATAGCAGATGAGGTCCCTCGGATTAGGTTTTTTACTCGGTTCAAGAAGAGTAGTGTAGGGTTTCACAGACTTTTTGCGGTTTTATAAATCTTAAAACGGGCTTATGCTCTCAGTTGCCCAGTAACCTCTCGAGAATACGATGCCCTTCTTCCTGCTGTTCAGTTTTGATCAGGAGACCCCATTAAAAATCAGAATCAATAGCCAGATAATTACGCTTTGCTGCCGTTGATTTTGCACGTACAAGGTCTTGCGATGTTTTGTGGATTGCCACTTGTATAACGTTTTCCGCTTTGGATGACATAAGACTTGTTCCATACGAAACGGTTTAGTATAAGCTGTCTAACGTTTTCAAGATTTGCTTACTTGTCCAGTGTCGTCGGGGAACTAAAGGGTAACTACCCTTAGGAATATATATGTGAGGATATGTAAGGACTATAGTACCCCAAGAAAGCTAAGTTAAGGGTTGGGCCTTCGGGTTTAAAGTTCGGGATTTGGGGTTCAGGGCGACCTAGAAGTTCGCATGCAGCTTCATTGGGATGCTGGCTTCGATAGTCCTGGTTCCCCAACCCGGATCTCGTAAAGGATCCAAAACCCTAAACCCTAAACCGTAAATCCTACACCCTAAACCCTAACCCCCGCCCCCCACCCGCCCAAAAGCATCCTGCATTGCAAGCGCTCTAGAGATGAACACCAGCAAGGATTTTTACTGACTTCACCCAAATTCCCTGGAACAAACCCTTTGTCCTGGTAATCAGCTTTAAAGCGAAGACCAGGACAGGCAGGGCATAAGCGCCACTTTTCGAGGTTCCAGGCTGAAACCGAAACAGAGCGAACAACCAAAACAAACGCAAACAGCAAAAGAGTCAAAACAAAACAGCTGAACCTTCAAACCCCTAACAAATAAATCCTAAACCCAAACCTTAAACACCTCAACCCTAGACCTTAAACTCGACACATCCCCTCAAGAGGCCTCACCTTCTTCATGAATTGGTACGAAACGTTTCTACAAGGTGAGAATATGTATGGATAATGTAGGGTTGAGGGCTTAGGGTTTGCTATACATAATATACGGATCTCGATACTTGGAAACGGGAAAGCCCAATAACCCTTAATTAAGGAATTTACCTCCAATATCCTCAAACCGTAAAGAGCTTCATAACATGATTTAGGCGATATTCCTTTGTCAAGGGGTATTGGGCTCCCTGGGTATAGGGTTTTGGAGGATATTGCAGTATAACATTCATTACCCACCAACCATAAAGGAATTATGTTGGTAATCACGGATGGCTGTTCCTGAAGATATCTCACTGAAAATGATCATCACCTGCGCCAGAAACCTTTTCACATATAAATATATCTACGGCCCCAGTCGAAAGCCGTTGCAAAGATAAAACCCAGTATAGAATCCTTATGGAACCCTCTAATGCGGCCTACCCTAAATATTCAGGCCTCGTCCGAAAACCCATGTAAAACCGTAAATTGGGGACCCAAAAAAGCACATAAGCAAAAATCGGATAGGGATATCCCATATAAACCCCCTTATAATGAAGCCCAATAAGGAAGGGATATCACTACAAAATGCTTATGCTTATGTGCTTTTTGGGTCCCTAATAAACAGCCTCAAACGGCGTTTCAAACCCTATCAACACCAATACGGCCCCATACGGCCCCATACCGTTGATGATATAAACCCTGCATTACCCATAATAAGGAATATACCATAGTTCCATAGTTTAGGGCAGGATTTATATCATCAACCGTAGTACCTTCATCGATTTGTCCTTTGCTTATTGGGAGCCTCTGTAAAGGATATACCCACATAGTATGAATCCTTATATGGTATATGAGCCTTAAGTCTTAAGCCTTTTTAGTGTTCCTTTCATTTAGGCCCCTGTAACCCTAAACCCTAAACCCTAAACCCCAATCCCTAAACGCTAAACCCAAAACTCCAAACCCAAAACCCCAAACGCCAAACCCTAAACCCTAAACTCTAAACCCCTAAACCCTGGGAGCCTCTGTAAAGGAAAAACTACGGCCCCCGAAGGACCGGAGCGGCCTCCTCTCACTGGCGACTTCGGTGGAGACGAGGGCCTGGAAACTGCGACGTAAAACACTGGGTCTACTTAAAGGGAACTCCAGAAAGTTGGAATATGGTTTTAGGGCAGGATACACTATAATTTACCATAAAAGGTTTAGGATAATCATATTCCAACTTTCTGGCTTTTATTTTAAAGGATTCCTTAAAGGAGCCCTAAGCATTCTTTTCTTTTTATTCATTAAGGGCTTTAGGGTTTAGGGTTATTTTTTGAACTCTTTTTTCCCAAAGTCCCTTGCAGAGGGCTTAGGGTTTAGGGATTAGGGTTCCTTTAAAAGGAGTCTGTAAGGGCTAATAAGGGATCTACAAGGGTACTATAATATCGTATGATATAGGGGTCTAGGGTTCCTGGGTTTTAGGGTTTAGGGATTAGGGACAAAGCTTTAGGGTTTAGGGACAAAGGTCTGGGGATGAGGGATTACCTTAACCCCAAGTAACCTACCTTTTTAAGGACTTATATAAAAAAGAAATCATATTAGGGAACCCTAAAAAGGTAGGTTCCTTAGGGTCCAGGTAGGGTTTAGGGTTTAGGGGTTTTGTGAGGTCTGGGTTTAAGGGTTTGGGGGCTGCAGGCTCTTAGTAGGGTTCCTTTAAAGGGCTCCTTAAAGGGATCTATAGGGTTCCTTAAAGGGATGTATGGGGTTTAGGGTTTAGGGTCTACTGAGAGGATCATGGGACTTAGTAAGTAGGTTATAATTGGGGTTATAAGTCCCCTAAGTGGGGTTATCCTAATTATAACCTACTTATAACCTTACTTACTAAGTCCCATGAGCCTTCAAGTGTTTCAGAAGTTTAGTGTTTTAGGGTGTAAAGGTGCTTTGGGCTTTAGGGCCACTTAGCGCTCAGGGGATTAAACAAGCACATAGGAATATCAGTCAGCTTTTAAATTTTAGTTAGGATACCCCTACGCAGAGAGTTCTGAGTTCTTACTATAACCTACTGCTGTTACGCAAAGGCTGAGGGGACTGAGTAACTAGATGAAAAGCAAGCATATACTGCGGATAACCGTACCGAGGGGTTCCGAACCGCAAGCATAACCTACTTACTCCAAGCAAGCTTCAAAATTTGGACCTGGATCTTCGAGCCGAAAAGACCGTGACCTCGCTGTCGACCGCCGGGGGGCACATCATCCGGATCAGTCGCTTGCAAAAGGGCTACCAGAAGCATCAGCCAGGGGAGGCAGCACATGTGATGCTCGCTCAGCCGCAGCAGGTTGGCCCGCAACTCTGCCGCTTGCACTCGGATAGATCCTATATGTGATCCCGGTTCTCGGTTCGCTGCCTGAACCCTCAAAGAGCCCTTGCTCACATGCCGAATCCCTGTGACTGTGCAGACTTCTCCCACATGGCGACGCCTGACCAACCCCACGAGTAGAAGTTTGTGTTGGTATTATGATGTGCGTTGTGGAAAGTTATGATTTAAAGAGGCACTTGAGCAATGCATATGAAGTGGATGTTAAAGCCGCATCACAACAGTCACTCCACAATTTCCACAATGGTTTTGCCAGCACACAGACTGGCACATCCTGCATGTATGCAATGAATTAGCAAACCGCGCATGAGGGAACTTAGTAAGTAGATGGTAATTAGACTTGTAAGTACCCTGAAAGGGACCCTAATTGGAGCTATGATACTTATAAGTCTACTTGTTATCTATTTACTAAGTCCCCCGACTCTCCAACAAGACTCTACCTCCTAAGCCATAAACCTTACCACCTTGCCTAGAAGGCCTCCCGAACAACTCCCAAATTACGGTTTAGGGATTGGACTCTTAAACCCCAACCTTTAAGCGCTAACCCCTAAACCCCAAGAGCCTTAGCCCTAGTCTTAAAGGACTCAGAGGAGCCCTGCGTTGCACCCTGACAGGAACCTTCAACGAATCCAAGGAAGCCCAAGGAATCCAAGGAAGCCTCTCGAGGACTCCGAAAACTTCCTAAGCACCCGACAACCCAAACTTTAAGCCCTCAAGCCCTCTTTCAAGAAACATAAACCTAAACACCCTGTGAGGCAATCCGAAAACCCGAAGCCCCAAACACTAAACCTTAAACCCACTTTCAAGGATATCCTAACCGCTCTAAACGGAATCATAAACCCCTAAACACCTGTAAAGAAACCCGAAAAACTGCTGAAAGGAACCAAAACCCAAAACCCTCTGAAAGGAACCCTAAACTAAACCCGGGCTCAAGGGACCTTTTAAGTAGGGTTATGATTAGGGCTATAAGCGCCCTAAGTACAACCTTACTACTTACAACCTTACTTGTTTGGTCCCATGCCCTTGTAAGTAAACCTAAACCAGACCCTTAAAGAGAAACATATTATAGAACCGTATAATACACTTAAAAGGAACCCTTAACCCTAAAAAAAAAAAAAACATCTGAACCTTCGGTGTGGCAAAGCAGACCTGGACGGTTCATCGCAGAAGGCGTCGCAAGGCTCATCGCCATAGGCCTGGTTTAGGGATTTAGAGGGTTTAAGGGTTTCATAAGGGATGGCTTCAGGTGCCATAGGGCTTAACTGAACAGGACATGAAGTCGACGGTTTAGGGTTTCGGGTTTCAGACTTTGGAAAGTTTTTGCACGGTTTTTACGATCCAAGAGCGGGCTTCATAAGGGGTAGGGCATAATTGAACATTACATGAAGTTCAGGGTTTGGGGCTTAGGTTGTCTACAGCTTGTGCGGGACCTTCTACGTGTGTTCTGAGACGCACCGGCCCTCTCTATAGTGGGCTGTTTTCATATCCCCAAAGACCTAAACCTTCAACACCCGAACCAAGACCCTAAACCCCAAACCCTAAACTCCACACCCTACAGGCGGCCCCTTACTTGGAGGGCCGGGGGACGTAGTATGTGTTATTTTATAGGTTTATAGGTATCACAGCCCAAATTCGGATCCTATTTAGGGTACTTACAAGTCTACTTACTACTTACTTCCTAAGTCCCCAGACCCTCCAAGTACGTTGTCACAGCTCCGAACCGCTCCGGCTTGCTAAAGACTGCAGGCACTAGAATTCGGACGCTGTTGATATACTTGGAGGGTCGGGGGGCTTAGTAAGTAGGCAGCAGGCAGTGGAGTTTTTCAGTGCCCCGAAAGGGATCCAAACTGAGGTCATGATACTTACAAGTCTATATAACATAACTACTTACTAAATTCCACAACCCCTTTATAAAACCCTGATAGATCCCTTTAAGGATCCCTATGAGGAGGCCCTGTAAGGAACCCTACTTACTAAGGGACCCGACCCTTCAAGTAGGAACCTGACCTGGGGTTCTTTTACCAGCTCCTTTAATGTGTATGTAACGGCTTCTCTAGCTTAACAAGGCTACTTTTTGGAAGACCCTTAAGGAAGCCCTCAAAGACCCCTTAAAAGATCTACTTTGTGGATCCTCCCGGGCGTCTGGGTATAGAACACCTTGAACGTCAATTCGGGATTAGGGAGCCGAAGGCCTGAGTCGCTTGCAGAAACTCAGAAATGGGCTTTAGGGTTTAGGGGATGTAGGGGGTCTGGGTTTGGGGGGTTTAGGGTGTATGGCTTTAGGGTTGAGGGGCTTTCGGGTTTAGGCGGCTTGGGGGGTTTAGCGTTCAGGGTTGGGGGTTTGGGGGTTTAGGGGTTTAGGGGGTGAGGGGTTTTAGGGTATAGGAATTAGGGGTTTAGGGGCTTATTCGGGTTCAGTCGCGTGGTGTACACGGCGTAGAGTATTCAAGGCTTTGGGTTTCTTGTGGTTTCAAGCTTTTCAGGGTGCTGTATGACGATTCGAGGTGCAAAACCTTTAAGGCTTTAGGATGTTAGCTGAAGCTGTGCCTCTGACTCAGTGCTTTTCAGTCAGGGATAAACCGGTGAGGATCAATCAAGCTTAGCCCGGTAGCCCTATCCTCTGGTATACAGGTCTGGTAGCTAGCCTTCTTTCTCCCTCCCGATCCCGTGAGAAGCAGTAGAGCTTTTGCTTAATATAGGGGCCTTAATAATAAACAATACTTTTTTTTTTGGGGGGGGGGGGTGGAGGTTCCTCGTTATAGTTATGATATAATATACCCCAAACCCTATTCTAACTATTCAGGCCCCTATTAGGGTCCGCAGCCCGCGATAAAAATTCGGCGGCTGCCTGTGTGGCATCCAAGTCGTCATGCATACCGGCTGCCTGGACAAACTTAGGGTTTAGGGATTGGGGAAACTCTTTGAGTTTCTGGATGACAGACAACCCGAAACCTTAAAACCTCACAGATCAGTGCGACCGGGTGATGAGGAATTCAGATTCCTGGGAGCTCATTTCAGAACCCTAACCCACAAACCGCATCACAACCCTGGCCTAGGTTGTAGCTTAAAGGGCTGTGAGGCAAACGTCTGATTAGTACGGGTGCAAGGCACCTAAACAGACGCCATAGGGTTTTTGGTTCCGGAGATCACATACTATGCCACTATGCGCGTTAAAACCTTCAATTGCATGCTGAAGTGCCACTTAGCAAGCCCTAAACCCCAAACCTTAAACTCATAAGCCAAACACTTTAGCCCCAAAGCCCAAAAATGAATCCATCCACCAGCGGTTTCCGCGTTACATCAAGGCGTGTCATCGCTTGGCCACGGTAGGAGACCTGCCACAGAAAGATCACGCTTTTCAGCTTCAGTGGGTCCCCAGAACTGTGGGTCAGCGCCGGTCTAAACGTCGCCAAGCTGGCGCATACGGAAATGTTCTCAGTCGAAGCCTGAGGAAAGTCTGGGATTCCAAAGATCCTGCAGGTAACTCTCCATCTATGCCCCAAAAGATTACGTGGGGCATAGATGAAATCCTTGTGTTGACGCACAAGGCAACCTGGGTTGCCCGGCGGTGTCATACCAGACGACTGCACCATCATACAGGGGCATTACTAACTAGAATAGGGTTTTGGGGCCCACTATACTTATAACAAATAAGGAACGCCCAAAATAGTATTGGTAACTCTTTCGGTCCCTATACTAAACCCCCCATATAACATCCCTGATAGTAATCCTTATAAACCCCTTTACAAGGAACCCTCAAAGAAACCCTAGGCAATTTTTTAGGCCCCTTTATTACAGCACCTGGAGCTTGGGTTCGACTCCAGAAGGATGGTTTCCATACAGGTTTGTGGTGAAATCCCTGACGACCTGGTAGTCCCCAAGACTCCAATATCCCTTAATTAAGGAACCTTAAATCTTACTAGGGATCCTATTATAACTGAAGGTATCTTCCTTAATTAAGGGATATTGGAGTCTCTGGATCAGACAGACTCCACCCTTCTCGCTGCAACCTGCCAGACGAGCCAGAATTACCTGCAAGGGCCTGAGTTCGGGTTGCCAGAGCCCCAGAGGGGCCAATACCCGCTAGGCAAGGAATATATCTTCAATCATAATATGACATTGCGCAGCGTACAGCTAGACGTGTTTTTCCATGGAAAAAAACATGCCTAGCTGTACACGTATGATCAAAAGCATGTTCCTTAATTAAGGGGTATTGGGCTCTTTGGGGAAGGGCCTGCATGCCCTGCGCATCCTGAGAAGAAGCGGGGCCAGCTCCCAACTTGGGACCCAAACCCCCAGACCCCTAACCCCTAAACCCTAAACCCCTAAACCCCGCCCCTACACCCCTCCGGTGCATGCAAGATTGTGTGCAATGGTTGACGAATCTTGTGCTTGAAAGCCGTGCTTTCATCATCCCTGCAGAACTTGGCTGCTTAAAGGATCATGGGACTTAGTAAGTAGGTTATAATTGGGGTTATAAGTCCCCTAAGTGGGTGATCCTAATTACAACCTACTTATAACCTTACTTACTAAGTCCCATGAGCCTTTAAGTAGCAACTCCTCATTTTGGTCCGGGTGTCGGCTCGAGGTTCCGAAGTAGCCATTGGGAGCAAGGCGCTCATTTGGGAGTTTCCCAAAATTAAGGGGTAGCTTATTTTGGGGCTCTTATAATAAGGATCCTACTATTTAGGGACCCCTAGTTTCGGAAACTCCCATTTTGCTTACACAGTTTAAGCTTGAACGGACGGGAACCCCTCGACAAAAAAAGACAACGAGGCTACTGCATAGGAGCCGAGGCGATGGCAGCAAATTCAACACACCAAGCTCTGAAGCCTGGGCTCGAGACCCTAAACCCTAAACCCCTAACCCCTAAACACCTCAACCCCTAAACCGTACACCCCTACACCCCTAGGCCCCTAAACCCCTAAACTTCTAAAGCCCTAAACCCCTAAAACCCCGAACCCCTGAACCCCTAAACCCGTAAACCCCTAAACCCTAAAACCTGAAGTCTGCTCCTGAACCCTAAACTGTGTGCATACACGGCCTCGTCGGGCTCGGCTGCAGACGTCACAGCGGCAGTCGACTGCACATGGGTTTAGGGGTTTAGGGCTTTGGGTTTAGGCTTTTAGGGTTCAAGCTTTAGAGTTTAGGGTTTAGGGGTTTAGGGTTTAGGGGTTTAGGGGTTTAGGGGTTTAGGGTTTAGAGGTTTAGAGGTTTAGGGGTTTAGGGTTGAGGCTTTAGGGGTTAGGGTTTAGGGGTTTAGGGGTTTAGGGTTCAGGGTTTAGGGGTGTAGGGTTTAGGGTTGCAAGGCTTTGGTGCCGCTCGGGCTGCTCCTTCAAGGCCTAGAAGCGGTAACCATAAGGGAAGGTTTTGGGATCAACAATGCCTACATGATCGAAAGTAGCCATGTAAGGATTTCTGATGATAGTTTGTGTTTCGGTTTCAATCCCTCACATGGGGCGGCCTGTCCATACCAAAGCGTGTCTGGCATGTCCCGAGTCAGCTCATCCACATCGAGGTACGCCTTTTAAGGTTCAGGGTTTCGGTGGTTTAGAGTCTAGGAGTCTTAGAGTCAACGGTTTAGGGTTTAGGGTTTAGGGTGTAGGGCTGAGGGTTCTGAACCCATGAAGGATCTGTTCCCTAAACCCTAAACCCTATAGGATTTATGGGAACACTTGTTTGCGGTTCCTCGGGCATTCTTGTCCGAAGGGGTCGAGGTGGTCAGCTATGACCTTTGGAAATAATATAGAGGCCAAAATAATTAACTATGTATACTATTTTGGGGGGGTTCCTTAATATAATCATAATAGAATAGGCCCCAAAACCCTATTCTAATTATTAAGCTCCCGATATTATGTAATTCGGTGTCTGAGCTCATGATACAGCTTATGGCTCTCTTCACGGCAATTCGTGCTAGCAATGCTACCAGCAATGTTCACGTGAATTTTTTTGAAAAATCTATATTCGTTGTACCTCGATCCAACTCCACGGTGAGCATGATACTCGTTTTGAGCATCCATGAACAGACATATTTAAAAAGGAACTGAATCGAACGCAAAGATCACGACTGTCCTGAGTGAACCGACTTTTCGTTTTTGCAGACAGAAAGACAAACAGACAGACGGACAGACAGGGAGGCAGGCAGACAGACAGAGACAAACAGAACCACAGATAGACAGACGTAGGATATGGGAGTTTCCGAAAATAGGGGACCCTAATGTAGTACCTTAAATAGTAGGAACCCTAGTGTAAGGACCCCAAAGTGAGGTACCCCTAATTTTCGGAAACCCCCATATGTCGACAACACTTTCTGAGAACGCACGGGTCAAGGCCTTGGGCTCCCACCGGTGTTGCAATCAAGTTTGGTGTCTTCCATAAGATCTGTTCAAAGGGTCCTATGTACCGATATAGTAGAACTTTGGGTTTCCATATTAGGAGCTACTAGTATGACTTAGGAGAGTATCCCCCAAAACAATACATAGGACCATTTGGGAATGCGGTTAAGAGTCCAGGGTTTAGGATCTAGATTGAAATCCTACGTCTCTACCCCAAGCCCGGACACTTAATCCCTACGCAAACAGCCCAATGTAATCTCCTTCATTCCTAGGATACCATTTGTTCCTGATATTCAGTTTGAATACCGAGACTCCGAAGTAGAAGCGTGCAAGGGAACTACTGGGGAACGTGCCTGATAATTACCCAATGTGCGCCCATCGACAATTAAAACTAGAATCGGGATATGGGGGATTTTTGCGGTGTATAGATTGTAGACAACTACCATTTCACGAAACCCGAAGGAATGGTATTGGTAAGCATTCAGACCCCGATATTAAGACCGGTATGATCGGAACTGCTGCCGCCCCGCCTGACCCTTCAAAGTGTTCCGAGAGCTAGCCTAAGTTCGGGAATGGTGCGCAGAATGTAAAGTGCCTCTCACTGTGCTTGGAGAAAATCCCAATACGAAGATCTTGTCGCCATATTTGGGAGCGTGTATGATTACTAGAACCGGATGTTGGGGTATCTCGTACTCACATACCTACTTGTCGGGAATCATGGGGAACTGAAGGTTAACTTTGTTGGTTATATAGGGATTATATAGGGACTATACTACCCAAAAAGGTTAAAGGTTACCTACTCGACTAGGCTTATTCAGGCCCCTATATCATATACCCGTATTATAGATCCCTTGTGGTACCCTTTAAAGGAGCGCGTAAAGGAACCCTTTTTCTAAACCCTAAACTCACATAAAGCCGAGAACTCAAAAGATCCTGACTTTGGGCGCCTGCTTGAAGGCTCCTAGGGCTTAGTAGGTACGGTTCCTGAAAGGGCTCCTTTAAGGGATCTGTAAGGGATCTATAAGGGGTCTATAAGGGGGAGTTTAGCTTGCTTAAAGGCTCATGGGACTTAGTAAGTAAGGTTTAGGGTTCCTTTTGCAGGCACGAATAGGGCTCCCTTTAAGGTTTTAGGGTTTGGGGTCTGCTTGAAGGCTCATGGGACTTAGTAAGTAAGGTTACAAGTATGTTGTAATTACGTAGGGAAACCCACTTAGGGACTTATAGCACCAATTATAACCTACTTACTACGGTTGATGATATACACCCTGCATTACCCATAACAAGGAATACACCATAATTCCCATAGTTTAGGGTCCTTAAGGTAATGCAGGATCTATATATCATCAACAGTAGGTCCCATGATCCTTTAAGTAGTAAATACTACGATCAGTTCCCAGTGCCTGTGTGCATGCGAGCTCCAAGCGAGAACTGGGCCCTGGAAAAGCGAGGGTCATATATAGGTTAAGGTCTACGGCTTTGGGATTTGGAGCTTAAGGTTTAGGGCTTTGGGTGTCAGGGGTTTAGGATTTAGGCTTTGTGGGTCTAGGGGCTCAAGGTTTAGGGCTAAACCCTAAACCCTAAGGGTTTCAGGTTTGGGGGGATGTAGACAAGCCGTCTTTGAGTTCCGTCGCCTCAGTGAAAGGGTACACTTTTCCTGTTCTCGGCTTTGATAAGGGAGTTTCCGAAAACTAGGGGTACTTCATCTTGGGGTCCTTTTGAAGAGGATCCTACTATTTAGGGTACTAAAGAGTCCCCTATGTTCGGAAATTCCCATAAGGAGACCCCAACGCAAGGGCATAGGGGCACTGTGGCACGGGTTCAGTGTCGGCTTTACGCTGATATTCTGCCCAATGGCTCCATACACACACTTGAAGCTCCGAGTCCGCTCGCGCATGTTGACTTCCTCAAGGGTCCTAATTAAGGACCAACATCAGGAGATACGACCCTAAACCGCACTCCCCCAAATCGTGTTTCTGGCTGCTGTCTAAACCCTCAACCTAATCCCAAACCTTAAACTTTAAACCCGACATTTTTTCAGCCGTACCCGGTGAGTACTACATTTACTACATCCCCTTAGCCCTTATCCCAACAGAGCCCCTAAGACAAACACAAATTAAAGGAACCCTTCTATGAACTCTAAATCCATGCGGTCACAAACCCTAAACCCTTCAAAACCCCAATCTCTGACTCCTGATCCGCCCTACACTCTGAAGCACCAGAAGAATTAATCCCTGCACCACAAACCCGAATCCCTACTTCATTCTCACAGTTTAGTGAACTCAAAATCGCCGTCCTTCTGCCGAGTCGGTGGCCACTGAAGGCTGCTCCTGCACTGCAAGGGCTTGGGGGTTTGCAGTTTAGCGGCTTCAGGATCTTTAGGCTCAATGTTTGGGGTTTAGGGTTGCCTATTTCAGGAACCCTCAGGAATACTCTTGATACTTCTTCCGAGCCTGAACCTTAAACCCTGTATGAATAGTTCTCTTCACTTGGATCCGTGTTATGGTCCTTTTATAAGGGTGCCATACTAGTTTGGGGACCTACAACGATAAAGGGATTAGAGTTTAGAGAACTACACATTGGTTCTCTGGTCTATGCGGTCTCGTCCTTGGCTCCATTGAACTTTAGAGGGACAGCCGCAAGCAAAAACAACAGACTTGAAGGTTTAGGGTGGGAGCTATACTATTTTGGGGGTTCCTTTAGAGGGGTCCACAAGGGCTACTATAAGGGATTTATAACAGTGCTATAATATAGGGGTCTCGATAATTACCTACACTATACTATTCTGATTGTTCCTTACTATAATCATAGTATATTCGGCCCCGAAACCCTATTCTAATTATCAAGGCCCCTATATTAGACACTAAAGCCCATACACGATGTGATATTCATAATATAGATATATTAGGGTCTTAATAGTAGCCCCATTATAGACTGTTACTGTATGGGGGCAGTACCCAGCCCATACATGATGTGAGGCCCCGCTACACTCCCAGGCTGTGCCTGCTGATTAAAATCGTTAAGGCCAAAGCATGTAGGGTACAGGATATGGGGGGTTTTCGAAAATAGGGGACCCTAATACAGTACCCTAAATAGTAGGATCCTTATAATAAGGACCCCAATATAAGGTACCCCTATTTTCGCAAACTCCCATATGCAGGATAAGTGGGTTCTAAACAGACAACACATATGTATTTATGTGCAATGGAGGCTCCACCCTCCAGCGCTCCACCAATTACTGTAATCCGGGAGGACCCGCAAAAAATCTCGAGCTCAAAACCCCACACTTCAAACCCCAAGCCCTCAACCCTAACCACCAAAACTTAGAAGGAAAGCAACACTCATACTTTGTTTTAGAACCACCTAGAAAAGAACCAGAAGCCATGAACCAAAACAGCGAATAACGCCAAACATAAACCCAAGAGCCATAAACCAAAGCAAAACCTACCTTGTAAGTCCCCTAAGCCTTCAGGCACGGTCGATATCATGACAACGGGGTCTGAAAGTCGTAAAGTACTTGAAGGCTCATGGGACTTAGTAAGTAAGGTTATAAGTAGGTTATAATTAGGATAACCCCACTTAGCGGACTTATAACACCAATCATAACCTACTTACTGAGTCCCATGATCCTCTAAGTAGGACGGCATGCCAGTGTCCCAACCCGAAACATGCTAGTGTCCATGTCGTTGCAGGGTAAAAGAGTTACGATACGATTGTATAAGTTTGATCTAAGGATTTGGCTTGGGCTTAGAGGGTTTAGGATGCACAAAGTGGGTTTTAGAGTTCGGTCCGCCTTTCAGATGTGCTAGTTTTGACAGACCAGCGTGATGAAGGCTTAGGGGTTTTAGGCTAGGCCAACCTTGTTCCCACAGGGTTCTAGGTACTATATTTCCCTTCATATTAGTAATTCCGAATGCATAGAAACCTTCCATTCTCCTATACCGGTACTTTGGACCCGTTGGGGTTGTCTTGAATGGCCAGGCACGACATCTTTATTTACACTATGTGCACCCTGAAGCCTTCCCCAAAGCCTCCAAAACCGCCACCTCGAGGACCTTGAACCTAAACCCTGAACCCCGTCTAGGCTGTTCAGTAACCCACTGTGAAAAAGTTTATACTTTCTTAGGCTTCTTATTTTATAATCGGAACCCAGAGACCTGAAAGCAAAAAAATGTACCACTGAACAGCCTGGCCATATACATTGAATTATAAGGGAATCCTGCGAGAGCTTTGGGAGTGTCTTGGTTGGCTTAAACGTGGCACGACATCGGATAAGAAACCATACTTATAATCACTTATATCCCCAATGACGCTCGTTGTAACCTTACTTACTAAGTCCCATGACCCTCCAAGTAGGCATCTGTATCTTTTCCGGCAGCCTAGCCTCTGCCGCATTGGTGGAAGCGTCTGATGTCTCCGGGGGCATCTCACCTCCATGTTATCGTTTCATGAAACCCCTAAACCCCCCTAGACCCCGATCCCTGAAGCCGTGAACCCTCTCCCCCAAACCAGAAACAGATCTGAACCCCCAGGCACCTGGGACTCAAATGCTCAATCTTCCTGCCTATCACGCCTGGAACCACGTAGCGGGGGCAGTATCCAAGCTATGTTGGCCCCTGAAACCTGAAACCCTGGAATTCCCTAATACCACAAACCTTATGTAAACCTTCAGACTTCAATACTCTGCAGGAAGAAGAGGCGTCGAGGAACCTACAACGAGTTTCTGATTAAAAGGCCGAGGGCATGCGATGTTGGAAAGTGCTCGTCAGAATCTGCTTACAAAGTTTCCTAAACCCTAAACCCTTAACCTTAAACCACTGAAATCTGAGAAGGGAAAACCCTAAACCCTAAACCCTAAACCCCCAAAAAACAGGTTTTGTCTGGTTCGGGTGCACCCTAAAGCCGAAAGCGCAAATTTCCAATTTTCATAGACGAGTACTTTTGTAAAAGCCTAATATAGGGGCCTTCATCATTAGAAAGTGGTTTCGGGGCCCATTATATACTATATTCATACTAAGGACCACCCCAAGAAAGCCTAGGTGATTATTAAGGCCCTTGTAGTAAGTACTACACTCTAAACCCGAACGCCTCCGCCTGGAGCTGGTAGGATCTCGTCGACATACGCTTGCGTAGCCTTGGAAGAACGGGTTGCTCCTAACCTGCTGTAAAGGTCTGGGGCTTAGGATTTCAGGGTTTTGGGCTTGGGGCTTTGAATGCTATGGGGCTTTGAAGGTGGCAGGGTTTTCTCACGTCTTCGTGGACTTCTTGTACTAGGCTCGCTTTATTCAGAGGTGAGAATCAGGTTGCTACCATATGGGACTCCTAAAAGCTTGTAAGGCTCGGGATTGCTTCAGGATTTCACCGTGAACTTCGCCCCTAAATCCTAAAGCCTAAAACCCAAAAATCGTAAACCCTTAAACCCTAAACCCTAACCCTAAATCCTAAAGCCGAAAACTCCAAATCGTAAACCCTTAAACCCAGTGTAGGAGTTCGTGGCTCAGAGTTTACCTTAACCCAACTAACCTACTTTTTTAAGGATTTATATAAAGAAATGATATTAGGGAACCTAAGAAAGGTAGGTTCCTTTAGGTCCAGGTATGGCTTGGGGTTCAGTGTTTGGGGCTTTGGGGTTCGGGTTTGGGAGTTTGGGAGTTTGGAGCTTGGGGGTTTCGGGTTTGGAGCCTGGTTTTGGAGTTTAGGGTTTAGGGTTTAGGGTTTTAGGGTTTTAGGGTTTAGGGTTTTAGGGTTTAGGGTTTAGGGTTTAGGGTTTTAGGGTTTAGGGTTTGGGGCTTGTGGGTTCAGGGTTTGGGATTAGCGTTTCTGGGTTGGCGGTTTAGTGTTTGGGGCTGGGGTTTTGGATGGGTCCGGCTTTGCACGACGTCCGTGCGGGAGGGCCCGATGTTTGGGAGTTGTACTACAATTTGGATATAGGTTTTAGTGTTCGGGCTCCTCTCCCTAAGCCATATGGGTGGTCGTCAAAATTATGGCCCCTTTTTAGGCACCCTAAATATTAGGTCCTTACGTGCCATATTATAATAAGGACCCAGAGAGGGAACCTAAATTTGACAACCACCCATGTGGGATGCTTTTTGAGGAGTTCTGGGGGGAGAACATTTTAAAAATCCGGTCCGACTGTCCGACAGAACCCTAAACCCCAAACCCTAAACCCTAAATCCTAAACCCTAAACCCCTAAACCCTAAACCCCGAAGCCGAGCCACCGGGAAGTCGTGTAAGTGCGTCTCGGTCTCGGTCAACTTCTCCGGCGAGGAGGTGTCGGCCTCGAGCGTTGCGGTTGAGGGTTTAGGATTTAGGGTTTAGGATTTAGGGTTTAGGGTTTAGGGTTTAGGATTTAGGGTTTAGGATTTAGGGTCTAGGATTCAGGTTTTAGGGTTTAGGGTTTAGGGTTTAGGTTTTAGGGTTTAGGATTTAGGGTTTAGGGTTTAGGGCGCGAAACAACTGCAATTGCGGTCTTCCTGCTAGCTTCCCAGAGAGCCCAATAAACGTTAGCTCAAGAAGACAGGCTTAAATCTGGGGTTCATTTAAGGGCTTCTTTAAGGAGATCATGGTTTTTTCGGGCTTAAGACTTAAGACCCCCACATTAAAACTAGACCCAAGAGTAACCCAGGCATAAAAAGGATGCCCTTTTTGGTTTAAAGGGGCTTATAAGGGAACCTGAACCCTCAAAAAGGGAATAAGGGCCTACTCTGGGTCCTAGAAAATGTACCTCTAAGCATACGGGGCTTCATATTCCCCTTCAAGCTGTATTCCTCAATTATGGGGTCAGTTTTGCATGTCAGTGGGCCCCGACCTCATGGGTGCTGTGCCCAAAAGACGTGAAAGACTTTTCCGGATACTCTAGTACCTAGCTACATTTTTTTATTACTTGTAGCCCTACGCCCATGATCTCGTCAAGGCCCTTATACACACCCTGAAACTCAATCCAGATAAAACCTTCCAGACCACTGAAATGATCTAAAAAGTAGAAGCCACAACAGACCCTGAACCCTAAACGCCTAAACCCTAAGTTTCCTGCTTGTCGGGTATCATGGGAAACTAAAGGCTAACCTTTTTGGTCATATAGGGATTTTATAGGGACTATACTACTTCCCAAAAAAAGGTTAAAGGTTTCCTACTCTACTACTAGGAAATCCTAAGGTCTCAACCCAAAGTTCCAGCAAGGTACAGTAAACTCCATAAAGTTGGAAACCGAATTAAGGCCAAATAGTGCTGGGATACATTAACCTTAAGGATTGAGGCTATTAGGTTTCCAACTTTTGGGCTTCTGCTGTATCCTGCCAGTTTCGGGGTCGAGATCGGGGCTGCTCTTCCGGGTGGCTCTGGTTAGTCCCCAGAGACTCCAATATCCCTTAATTAAGGAATATTCCTTAAATTATGGCAGGATCCCTAATATGATTTAAGGTATATTCCGTAATTAAGGGGTGTTGGAGTCTCTAGGTCTATCACCCCTTAAATTAAGGAATATACCTTCAATTCTACGGGGCTTCATATTATGGTTTAAGCTATATGGGAGTTTCCGAAAATAGGGGACCCTAATGTAGTACCCAAAATAGTAGGATCCATACTATAAGGACCCAAAACGAGGTACCACTCATTTTCGGAAACTCCCATAATATATTTCCTGAATTTAGCGGTATTAGCTCTCTTCTTCAACAACCGGCTCCATCAGGGTTACGGTAAGGGGGTCTATGAGGGTACTAGAATAATGTAGGAACCTGATCAAGAAACCCTGTGGTATTCTATACTGAACTTAGAACCCTAGCAAAAATTACAATTTTAGCTGGTTCTTAGGGATTATAATAACCAAAACTTAAAAATTATTCTAATAATCCCCTAAAAGTATTGGGCTCTGTCGACGTCGGGGGCCGTTCTTTCCTACGCCTTCGACCTGAACCCCGAACCCACAAGGCCCTAGGCTTAGAAGCTGCCCCCACCCTGTAATAGTGGTATAATAGGAATATAATAGGGCCCTAATATATTCCTATATAATCCTTCTGGTCACTATTACTGTAAGGATTACATTCGGGCCCTATTCTATTCCTATTATACCACTATTACAGGTGTGGGGGCCCCTTCTAACCCTAGGCCTTTCAGCCTTAAACCCAAGACCCTAATACAGGCCCTTGATAATTAGAATAGGGTTCCTTTAAAGAGTTCCGTAAAGGGGTCTATAAGGGATCTATAGCAGGGTTCTATGATATAGTATAGGGGCCTTAATAATTAGAATAGGGCTTTGGGGCCCATTATACTATAATTGTAATCAGGAGCCCCCAAGATAATATTGGTGATTATTTAACACCCTCGCTGAAGAGTTTCGCAGCTTGGCCACTTCCTGGAATGGACTTAGTTCGGCGACATGCCAAGAAATAAGCAAACACTAAACCATTTTGTTTGTTGAGCTTCTTGTCGGGGCTGTGGCAGTAACATCGGACCTGGAAACCCCCACAGGGAGTTTGCCTGTTCGGCTGTCGGAATCTACTATTTGCTTAAGAACCCCCAAAAATAAAAACTATATTCCTTATGGGGGTAATATAGGGATTATTATTTTTATTTTTTGGGTGTTTCTTAAGCAAATAGTAGGAATGTAAAGAGGAGCCTGATGGTGGTAGGAATCCCCAGCCTCGGTCAGCAGAAAACGCCCTCGGGTACACTGTACCTTGATGACCTGAAACATTATGGACGCCTAGGCCCAAGAGTAACCTATGAAGAAAAAGGGTGCCCTTTTTGGTTTAAAGGGGGTTATAAGGGAACCTAAACCCTTAAAAAGGGAATAAGGGCCTACTCTGGGTCCTAGACGCTTCAGGCTGCCTGGAGGCAATGTGCGCTTCCACTGCAACTTCATTTCGTTGTCACAGTCAGGCAAGTGCTTGGCTGCTGCATAAACAATAGCGTGCAACCGTTCTTCTGGACTCACACACCTCAGCTTCGGCATTTCGGTCATACAACCTTGATGTCATCCGCAAGCTCTATGGTTTTGCGTTTTGCAGCTCTCTGGATGATGTCTTCGAACTCTTCCTGTGGAAGCAAACGTCCATGGACGTCCAGAGCAGCAGATTTGAAAGCCTGGCTGGCTGAACTCTCATTACAGTAAGGCGTTGGCCCACGTTATACTGTCCTTAGGTACGGATTACCGGGGGATGTTCTCGTTCGAAATATGGGAGTTTCCGAAAATAGGGGACCCACATGTAGTACCCTAAATAATAAGATCCTTATATTACAAGGACCCCAAAATAAGGTAACCGCCTATTTTTCGGAAACTCTAAACCCGATACCCGAAACCCTTTATATAACCCTTATAGATCCCTTTAAGGAACCCTTAAGGAACCTTTAGGATTTGGGGCTTTAGGGCATCAGGTCCTCGGCCCCATGTAACCAAGGAATACAAGACCATATTCAGGCCCTCACTTTCTTGTCCAGTATCCTAGGGAACCGAAGGTCGTAATAACACCCCCCCCCCCAAAGTGAAGGTTACCTACCCCACTAGGATCCTAGACCCTAAACGCTGATTAAGCCCTAGACACTATCTTTGATACTTTAATCCTTGGACCAAGTGCCAAGGCTCTTAGACCTGGGTTTCACCCTAAACCCTAAAAACAAACTCTGGGACCAAGGATCGTAGGCCCTAAACCCCTAAACCCTCGACCCCAAATTAAATCCTATGAATTCTTTGGACCAAGGACCGTAGACCCTTAACCCTCAACACCCCAGACCCCAAAATAATTCCAATGAAGTCTTTGGGCCAAGGATCGTAGACCTGGGTTTTTATCCTCAACCCTAAACCCCCTAAACCCCCTAAACCCACTAAACCCCCTAAACTCTAAACCCTATCTTACATCCTATGTAAGGATCATAGACCCTAAACCCTCAACCCTAAACCATAAACGCTTACTCTTGGGCCAAGGATCGTAGACCTGCGTGTCCGGGCAGGCTTCGATGCCCTTGGGTGGCTCTGGCACAACCATCGCTTCTGCCGGCTCTGCCGGCTCCTGTCTTCTTCTAGTGTTTATAAGGTTTGGGGTTTAGGGGTTTAGGGGTTTGGGGGTTAAGGGGTTTAGGGGTTTAGGGATTTAGGGGTTTATGAGGGGTTTAGGGCTGTAGCGCTTTAGGGGTTTTGGGGTTTAGGGGTTAGGGTTTAGGGGTTCAGGGGTTTTGGGGTTTTGGGATTTAGGGTTGTTTAGGGTCTTTTTTAAAAAAAAATCAGGTTCCTTCAAGAGTTCCTTTATTAAGGTTGCATGAGGTTTTTGTGGGGTTTGAGCTCCTTTATTAAGGTTGCATGAGGGTTTTCTAGGGCTTAAGATCCCTGAGCTATATGAAGAATATACCTCAGAGTAGACGGGGCTTCATATTCTGATTTAAGATATACTCTTAAGTTGAAAGTGTATTCGGCTCTCTGGGTCTTCGAACGCTCACATTTTCAGGCTGCGCAAGTAGGTCATAATGGGTCATCCTAGTCAGAGCCTTGCTTGTAAGATCTTGCAAGTTACGTACTAAGTTCCTTGAGCCATTGAGTAACTTAAGAAGGGTCTAGCATGTAGCGGTTCAGGGGCATAGGGTTTAGGGGGTAGGTATGGTCGCATGTTCGGATTGGGGTTTCGAATTTTCAAGTTTCGGTTTGGTTAAGGGTCTAACGTTACGAAAGGCAGTCTTGCGTGTCTGAATTGCCTAGCTCAGGGTGGATGTTACTCGATTGCAACCAGGTTGAGTGTGAAAGCTCGGCTTCCCGCCATCATGCCCACGAGTACTCGCTGTGTTGCAGCGCACGGGGAGTCCCTCATGAAACGAGTGAATCTGTGTGCGCCCCTTAACATGGTAGTGGAGAGAGTGAGCGCATAGAACGACAATCGAAAAGCCGTCAAAGTAGAACCGGTCGGTGCTTCTGTGTCTGCGAAACCTGTTATCATCTGGACCGTAAACTTTTAAAGCCTAAACTTTACTCCATGTTAGATATGTAGGCAAGAGCAGTTACATGTTGGAGGTCCCTACACAACAAACCATAAGTCAAACGTTAGAATCTAACCAGGCACTTAAGAACCGCAAAGTAAGTCAAACTGGTTCCCCGGTGGTCAGGGTTCCTGGGTTGGCATAAACCATCAACACTAAGCCTTGTCCCTAAGCCCTAAGCCCAAACCCTAAAGCCCTCAATCCAATGCCCCCAAACTGTAAATCCTAAAACGTAGTATGGGGGGGCAAAATGATTACCAACACTATTTTGAGGCATCCTTCTCATAATTCTTGTAAAGTATACCCCAAAACCCTAGGTATTAAGGCAGCCGCCATATCATAGAACCCTACTATAGATCCCTTATAGACCCCTTTAAGGAACCCTATTCTATTCATTCAAGGCCCTTATGTTAGGGCACCTCCACCCCGCCGTCTTCGTAGAGCAGTGTGTCTGCCATGGCTATGGGTTCCTGTCGAAGCGGGCTCAGGGGTTAGGGGGTTCAGGGGTTAAGGGGGTTTAGGGGTTAAGGGGGTTTAGGGGGTTTAGGGGTTTAGGGTTTAGGGGGTTTGGGTTTAGGGTTTAGGGTTTAGGGCTCAGGGTTTAGGGGTTTAGGGTTTCGGGCTCAGGGTTGAGGGGTTTAGGGGTTCTGGGCTTAGGAGGGGTTAAGGGCTCAGGGTTGAGGGGGGTAGGTGGGCTCAGGGCGCAGGGGTTAAGGGCTCTGGGCGTAGGAGGGGTTAAGGGTTTAGGATTTTGGGGTTTAGGGCTTAGGGGTTTGGGGTTTAGGGGTTTAGGGTTTAGTGGGTTAGGGGTTAAGGGTTCTGGGCTTTAGGGCTTAGGGTTTAGGGGTTTGGGGGTTCTGGGCTTCAGGGCTTAGGGTTTGGGGTTTAAGGGTTCTGGGCTTTGGGGCTCAGGGTTTAGGGGTGGAGGGGTGTAGGGGTGAAGGAGTTGGGAGTTTCGGGTTCTGAGCTTTACGGCTCAGGATTTGCAGTAGGGGTGTAGGGGTTAGGCGCTTAGGATTCGGGTTCTGGGGTTCTAGGGTTTGGGGTTTTGGGCTTTGGGGCGCAGGGTTCTGGGCTGACAGGGTATAAGGTTGAAGGGGCTTTGGGGCTCAGTGTGCTGGGCTTATGGGGTTTAGGGAGAAAACCCGGACCCCCCAATGGTCCTTGAATAGGGCCCTTATGGCCCTTAATATTCGGCATTTAGGGTATAATCGACGGTCGTTGGGGGTGTAGGGGGGGAAGGAAGTTTACGGCTTTGGTTTTGGGGCTTAGGGTCTAAGGCTCAGGGTTTTGGGGCTCGGGCTTCAGACCCGTAGAGGGTGCACTATCTGGGCCTTGGCAAGTTGAACTGAAGGGACTGATTAAGGAAACATCCCTAAATATAATTATAAGGGGGTAAGTTGAACTGAAGGGACTGATTGAGGAAACATCCCTAAATTATAAGGGGCTTAATATTGTGATTCAAGCTATCTTCCTAATTAAGGGGTATAGGGCGCTCTTCTGGGATTGGGGGGCTGTTGTATGCTAAGCCTTGGCCGTGGAGTCCAAAAATTGGGGCTTGCAGACGGAATGCTTGCCTAATTAATTTCCAAGGGTAAAAGGAGGGCCCCTTAATATGGACACCTAGGTATATACCCTTTAATATAGCTGTTATCTACCCATGATATAGCCCATTATAGGGTAGGGGTCCCCAGTGAGGGTCCCTCCTTTTCCCCTTTAATAATTAGGAAACCTCAAGCCCTCAACCCTGAACTCTGCTGAAAGAGCCGCCTCTTGCGCCAGCTGTGGCTCTTCCCAGCAAATGTCCTGGCAATGGAATCCCACTAAACCCAGAGACTCCAATATCCCTTAATTAAGGAATATTCCTCAAATTATAGTAGGATCCCTAGTATGATTTACGGAATATTCGATAATTAAGGGATATTGGAGTCTCTAGGAAGGGCTCACGGGACTTGGCAAGCAGGTCATAATTGGGGGTATAAGTCCCCTGAGTGGGGGTAACCCAAAAAACCTGACGTATGCCCTACTTAATAACTAAATCCTTTGAGCCGTTGAGCAGGGAAACCAACATCTCCGAATCAAGGAATATACCTTGGGTACTGCCCGCATACAGCAACAGTCTATAATAGGGCTACCATTAAGGAATTATCCGTATCATAATTTTGTATCAGCTGTTCCTGAGTGGGGGCCAGACTGCGCCTTAACTATGATTCCCCTATGACATTGAATCGCAAACCCTAAACCTCTAGACCACGAACGACTCTAAACCTCAAAACACTAAACAATCTACAGTAAACCCTAAAAACCCCCACACGACTAAGCACCCGACGGTAAACCCTAAACCCCACATAGACAGTAAAGACCCTTAAACAACATGATCCTTGATACAAGGACCTTTGTACGCAACCTTCAACCCTATAATGGGCTATATAATGGGTATATAGTAGCTATATGAAGGCTATATACCTAGGGGTCTTTTTTGAGGGTCTCTCCTGTTACGACTTCAGAGGCCTTGATTCGCAGCGGGCTAAGGGTTTAGGGTTTATTCTTTTTTACTTAAAGGATCATGGGACTTAGTAAGTAGGTTATAATTGGGGTCATAAGTCCCCTAAGTGGGGTTATCCTAAGTATAAGCTACTTATAACCTTACTTACTAAGTCCCATGAGCCTTCAAGTATCAGGGCTGCATAGCTGCAGTATGGGGCGCTTGTAAAAGGGCCTAGACTACGCGGGTCTTGAGGCATGGTGTTACAAGGGCGCATTGGTAGGCACTCGCTCTTCCAAGCCCCTAAGATAAACCCGAAACTTCAGGTTGGAATCAAGGCTTTCCTTGCCACAGCCAACCTGAAGACCCTAAACTCTAACCCGGATCATTCATCAGCTCCTCCTCCCAATTTCGACCTTTTAAGCCGCCATATCCCCGGTGACAATCGAGACCTCAACGAGCCACAGCTGGGAACACTAAACCCTAAAGCTCGAATCTTAAGCCTTTATGCTAAACTAAATCCTCCCCCCCGCATCTTATGATACCCTTAGTAATGCTCCTCTTCCCCATAGGCTTGCGTGGCCATGAGGCCTCGAGCAAACAAAGATCTAGAACACGATTCAGCGTTTGGGGTTTGGGGCTTTGGGTTTGAGGGTTGAGGGTTTGGGGTTCAAGGTTCAGGGCTTAGGGATTAGGGCTCAAGGGTTTGAGGTTTGGGGTTCAGGGAATCCAACAGGCCATTCGGACGGTTCAACCCAGGGCCTCCCAAAACCCCTTAATTGAGGAATATACCTTAAATCATAGTAGGATCCCTAATGTAGTTTAAGGTATATTCCTTAATTAAGGGGTTTTGGAGGCTCTGGGAAGGGCTTACACGTTTGGGTGGGACGGAGTTGGGGGGCCTGCGAACTGCTTGAGTCTTGTCCTTTCACAGGGGTGATCCACGGTTTAGGGTTTGGGGGTTTAGGGGTTTAGGGTTTTAGGGTTTAGGGTCCGCCCTGGTGGAGATCTGCTGGAAAAAAGTTGCAGCGCCGTCGCGCAGTGTCATGCGCGCTGCCTGAGGGAATGACTGCTGTGACAGCTCCCGGCTCCGATGATCACCGCCAGCGAAACAATCAAAGGGGAAAAGGAGGGAGCCTTAATGGGGACCCCTACCCTATAATGGGCTATATAATGGGTATATAACAGCTATATTCAGGGTATATACCTAGGGGTCCTTATTAAGGGTCCCTCCTTTTCCCCTCTGAAACAATAGCAGAAACAAGAACCGTGCCCTGAAAGCCCTGAACTAGGGACCCAACAAAAAAATCGTGAACCATGAGGTGCAGCCGACCCGGTTTAGGGACTAGCGTTTTAATTCCCAGGTTGGCCCCTTAAAGCCTCTGTAAAATGTCCCAAAGGCCTCCCTAGATTCTAAGTAAGCAACTACGGATATCCCGCCTGAGAGCTCATGTTTGCCTGGCTTTCGGGTTCCGGTTGCCCTGAACGGAGACAACGCTCTCCCAAAGGCATCAGGAGCGCCTGCGTAGTAGACAGAAGGGCAAATTGCAGTTGCGGCTTGCCCCATTCCCTAAACCCTACTTAGAGGATCATGGGACTTAGTAAGTAGGTTAAAATGGGGTTTATACGTACCCTAAGTGGGGTTATCCTAACTATAAGCTACTTATAACCTTACTTACTAAGTCCCATCGGCCTTTAAGTAGACCCCATAGCCTAAACCATTAAAGGGAAACCCTATTGTAGAACCGCATAGCACCCTTAAAAACGTAGGTTCAGGGAACCCTACAAGGCAGGTGACTTCGGGTCCAGGTATTCCCTAAACCCTACTTGGAGGGTCGGGGGACTTAGTAAGTAGCTAGTAAGTAGACTTATAAGTACCATAAAAGGGGCCCTAATTGGGGTTGTGGTACTTATAAGTCCCTAAAATAACCAGTTACTAAGTCCCCTAAACCCTAAACCCTATACCCTTATAGAATCCCTATAGATCCCTTTAAAGGAACCCCCTTAGAGTTACTAAGTCCCCCGACCCTCCAAGTAGGTCCCAGACGAACCCAAAACCTCAAGTCTCCAAGTTGAAAGATCTCGATCTGGGGCCCTGGTTTGGGGTTTAGGGTAGGGTTTAGGGTTTAGGGTTTAGGGTTTAGGGTTTAGGGGATACTTTTCTGCCGTGCTCTGTACCCTAAACAGGAAATGTTAAATCTCTTGAATGCCTCAAAAGGTCTCGGAACTCACCCTAAACCCTATATTCCTCAACCCTAAATCTTAAACCCCTCAACTCCAAACCCTAAATTCCTAGACGGTCCTAGACCCTTAACCCGAAATCCAACACCCCGTGTGAACCCTGAACCCTAAACCTAGCATGACTGAGAGTCGAACTGCAGTCCATGGTTGCAGCCCGAGCCTGACATTTAGGTTTCCAGAGCGCCTACCAGCAGCCCCCAAGTACCCTTTGATGGAGCCCTTGTGGTCCTTAATAGTGGGCATTTGCGGCATATTAGAGGGTACTTGGGGCGTTTAGGTATACTTAAGGGTTTAGAGTTTAAGGGTTTAGGGGCTTAAGGGTTTAGGGTTGTTTAAGGTTTAGGGTTTAGGTTTCAGGGCTTTTAGGGTTTAGGTTTTAGGGTCTAGGGTCTATGGTTTAAGGGCTCAAGGAACTTACTCAGTAAGGCTTCATGTAGGGTTAGGGGTTAAGAATTAGGGTTTCGGGCTGAGAAGATATTTAATTACAAGTACACTTACCTTATCTATAACCGTAGTTAACAAGCCCCATGATCCTCTAAGTTTTCCACACGAACTCTACACTCCACATATCAATTTCTTGTTACACTCACCCCAATGGTTGCTGCTGCGCACCAAAGCCCATAGAGCCCATCACCCCTCAACTACGGAATGTACATTATGGTTTAAGTCGGTTTAAGTAAGGATTTAAGCTATACTCCCTAAGTAAGGGGTATTGGACTCTCCGGAAGATTGAACAATGCATGAACGATCAAACCACCTAGCTCCCCAAGCTCTTCACGGTCCAGAGTTTAAGAAGCTAACCTTGAAATTCCTGACACTGTCGACAAAGCCTTCGTGACATCGATGCCATGCCCCAAACGGTCTCAGGCACATCGAAGCTTTTCTGATGACTGCCAAGACAGATGCCCGGCTTGGTCGAACCATCTTTTCTCCATGATTTCCAGGATAAGCCTTAACTATACTGAATTTAGAACCCTAGCAAAAATCATAATTTTACCTGTTTCTGAGGGATTATAATATCCAAAAATTAAAAATTATGTCTAAGTACCCCTAAGTCCAGGATAAGCCTTAGCCCTGCACCCCTAAGCCCCCGAGCCGCAGACCGTAAACCCCAAAAACCTGAAGCCCCAAACCGCTAAAGCCGTAAGAACTACTGCTCTACCTGGAAATCATGGCAGTCTATCTTATGCATATATGAAAGCTCATTGGAGTTGGCACGGTACGTCCAGTGGAAGAAGGCACCAGGCGTGGTGTGGACCTTTGACGATCCAGAGACAAGAAGCTCGTTTCGGGGTTTGGAGCCTGGGGTTTGGGTCTGGGGGGGGTGCGGGGATCAGGGTTTCGGCACTTAGGGTTTCTGAGGGCGTCTTAGTAAGCAGTTTTGCTGCAGTGTAACGCATGTTCTGAGCAACGTGATTTGAGAGTCTCTGGCCAACGCAACACGTGGGAGTTCAACTGCTGAAGGAAAGCGTTTGCGTGTCTGGAGCCACTGCGCGTTGCAGTATGTGGACGTTGTTCTAGAGGCTTTTGAAGACCATGAACCACGAGCAAAATCACAATGCCCTTCCGGTGACCACAACCAAAATGGAACCTACCTTTGGATTCTTTCGGGACACGTTTTTCGAACGACTACCATGTATGACATGCCAAGAAGCTGGGTTCAAGCAGCACGTAGATTTGTAGCAACAGCAGGCCATGTAAACTCACATGACCTATATAAAACCCAAATCCATAGCGCTCAGATCGTGCACTGCCGCTGGATTGTTCAGATTCAATCTTAAGCCCGCAGGCAGAAGAGGTGCATGCAAACAGGCGCAAGCAGTACTAGAGGGCTCTGGGCACTTACGAAGCAGGGTACGAGCAAGGTTGGAACCACCATAACCCCGGGAACCAAGCCCCTGAAACCAACCTAAACCCCAAACCCTAAACCCCTAAACCCTAAATCCTCCTGGGTTTAGGGTCCATCGAACCCTTGCAGGAGCGACCAGACGGATAACTTTGTCAGGGTATTTTTTAAATTTTAAAAACTTTTTAAAACTTTTCAACTTTTTGAAATGTTTAAAATTCTTTAAATTATTTACCCTGGCAAGCCCAAGGCAGAGGAGTCCCGAATGATGCTTACTTGGAGGGTCGGGGGAACTTAAATCGGTAGTAGTTATACAGACTTATAAGTATCATAATCCCAATTAGGATCCCTTGTAGGGTACTTAAAAGTCTACTTACTACCTGTCCCCCGACACTCCAATTAGGGTTCCGCGTTTAGGGTGTGGTTTTGGGGAATACCAGGTCGATCCCAGAGAGCCTTAATTGAGGAGTATAGCTTAAATCATACTATGACGCCCCGCATATTTTAAGGTCTATTCCTTCATGAAGAGGTCTCAAACCCTATAAATACCCTTGTGAAACCCTTAAATGATGCGAAGCCCCTTGTATAATAATGTATATATTCCTTAATCAAGGGGCATTCGCCTCTCTGGGCAGGTCCATCATATGTTTCGCGAACCCTAACAGCACCCATCGCAAACCCTTACAACACACGTTTCAACCCCTTATACAAAAACCGTTGCAACCCTTCTAAAATCACTCTCAGACCCTCATCACAACGTCCTAAACCCTAAACCCTCATAGAACCCCCCTATCAAGTTCTCATGAAGCTATCAGCACAGTCTCCTGGCATCTCCAGGTCTCGGCTATTCCTTAAGGCCAACAAGAGCCCTAAAAGAATTTTTTGGTTCCTAGGCCCAAGAGCAACCTATGAAGAAAAAGGGTGCCCTTTTTGGTTTAAAGGGGGTTATAAGGGAACCTAAACCCTTAATGGGAATAAGGGCCTACTCTGGGCCCTAGGTTCATATACTTAGGGTTTTCCCTAAAAGAATTTTTTGGTTCATCTACTTAGGGTTTTTTTTTAAAGCTCCTTTTTCCAGGGGGCAGCTCCATGCAGCATCCTAGAAAGCCAGAAGGCCAGGAGGGACGAAGTATAGGGTTTCGGGTTTCGGGATTCATATATATATATATATATATATATATATATATAGATATATATATATATATATATATATATAGATATATAGATATATATATAGATATATATATATATATATAGATATATATATATATATATACCTTATTAGGATTCATAGTGTATGGGCATGGGGCCCCTGCGTTGAAGGGTTTTTTGGTCCTGAAGGTTGCGGCATCCTACTCTGAGCTCCGGGCGCCTTCGTAGAACCTGTCGAACCTCGGCTTGCGTAGGGTTTTCGCTTTAGGGTGTACTTAAGGGCTTACGGGACTTAGTAAGTAGCCCTGGAAGTTTGCTTCATCAAAGCCCTATAAGATGCGAGTATACTCCTAAAAACTTTATAAACCGTAAGATTCTCGAACCTAAACCCCGTAACCCCTAACCCCAACCAGCGATCTATGCCCTAAACCCTTAACCCTTATCCCTAAACCTTAAAATCCTTACTCGTTCAGTTTCCGAGGGAAATTGAAGGTTTGCCCTCAGGTTTATATGGGAGTTTCCGAAAACTGGGCCTAATTTGCGGAAACTCCCATATGGGGATTGTCGTACCTCAAAAAGGTTGAAGGGTACCTACTCCTATAGTCCTATAGATCCCTTAAAGAAACCCCTCAAAGATTCAAGGACCTCTAGGATCAACTACTAGGACCCTACGTGTACCCCAAGATTAAAGCCGTCTAAAACCGTAGTATACCCCTAAAACCCTAGCCCTACAATCTTTGACCCCACAAACCTTACACCCGATACCCGAAATCCTATGATGTAAACCCTTAACATTAAGCCTTGGATCTGTACGGGAGTTTCCCAAAATAGCGGTACCTTATTTAGGGGTCCTTTTTTATAAGGATCCTACTACTAGACCGAAGAGTAACCTAGGAATACAAGTGTGCCCTTTTTGGTTTAAAGGGAGTTAAAAGGGAACCTAAACCCGAAATAAGGGAATACGGGCCTACTCTGGGTCCTAGACTATTTGGGGGTACTATATTGGGGCCCCTACTTTGGGAAACTCCCGTATTTATTGACCAAAGGTTCCTTCTCCAGAGCCTTGCAAGCAGGGTACACTTTGGCCAGAACTGCCTCCAAGACTTTGCTGTGGGTGACGAAGAGTACCTGGGTGAGGGTGTAAGACTGGGTCGTTTCGGCCTGTATCGTTTTGGTTTTGAGGTTAGAGTATAAGTATAAGAGGTCCCTTCCACACGTCCTTTGAGGAATGTAGAAGTTTTAAGTTTTGGGGAGCAAAATTTAGGTTTAGCCGTGAATCCCAAGACCGAGTGATTTTTGGGTTATATCCTCTAAAAGAAGGGTCAGCCGTAACCTAATACACTATAGGTTTTGGGGCCAGGGGTGAAGGGGTCCTTTGAGCGCTTTACGGTTTCAGGGACTGGAGTTTAGGACTCCTAAACCGTAAACCGTAGACTACTTAAAGGATCATGGGACTTAGTAACTAAGGTTATAATTAAGGTAACACTACTTATAACTACTTATAGCCGCAATTAAGGTACTTATAACTTAGAAGGGGCCCCCACCCTGTAATAGTGACCATAAGGATTATATAGGATTATATTAGGGCCCTATTATATTCCTATTATACCACTATTACAGGGTGGGGGCAGCTTCTAACTTAGAACCTTACTTACTAAGTCCCATGATCCTCCAAGTAGGGGTGAGGCCGGGTTTAAGATTTAACGGATCCGAGGTTTGTTTCAGTGCTCTTTACACGGTTTAGGGTTTAGGGTTTAGGGTAGACTTTAGTCTGTAGGGAAGTACCTGCAAGGCCCATTTCTGTAACTGGAATCGGTAGGTACTTGACGGCTCATGAGACTCAGTAAAATACGAGTTGTAAGTAGGTTATATTAAGGATAACCCTGCTTAGGGGACTCATAGCCCCAATTATAAAATATAACCCTACTCAAATTGACTAAGTCCCATGACTCTCTACGTATACATGAATGCGAATCCTGCCCGTCCTTGCCGTAACGGCCGCATCTGGAACAGGGTCCTGGCCAGTAGTAAGCCCGCAGAGGCTCAGAGATCACCACGGGTTGAAATGAGTGACTTTCGGCACTTCCTAGAAACTCCAATATCCCTTAATTAAGGAATATACCTTAAATTATAGTAGGATCCCTAATATGATTTCAGGATTAATCCTTAATTAAGGGATATTGGAGTCTCTGGGTTCTCTGTCCGAAGACAAGCCTCCTGCGGCCTGAAATCTGTCGCAGGTCGCAAGCCGCTCGGGTGAGCCAGCTTCCCAAAGACTCCAATATCCCTTAATTAAGGAATATTCCTTAAATCGTATTAGGGATCCTACTATACGTTAAGTTAAGGTATATTCCGGAAAAATTAAGGGATATTGGAGTCTCTGGGTTGTTTCCTTTGAATCGGCGCTACCGCATTCAGCGTGAAACTGGACGGCTCAGAAAGCCACCACATCCCTGAATCAAAACGACGTCGGGCCGAGGTGTGGATCTTGGGAAGTTGTGGGGCCGTGCGGCCTTTCCGTGACTGTCAGCGGTCAAGGCGACTCGAGCCAAGCTGAGCCTCAAGCACCTGAAAACAAACTTCGCGCTTTCGACCTCCAAGCGCCCCAGTGCCAACAGAAGGTAGTTCGGGCAGAAAGCAGATAGATGGAGGGTTGACCTGTGTCGGTGTAAGGTATCAGGTCGGGGCGATAATATACAATATGTGTAGGGAGGGGTTGGTTTACAGTCGAATCATCGAATCACATACATACATAATATATACATACATAATATATATATATATATATATATATATTTATGGTCACGCCCCCCCCCCATGATCCATACCATGGTTTTTTCTACCTCCTGCTGCTCATGCTTCGATTTCTACATGACTTCACCTACATACAAAATCATCGGTATTTGCAGTATTTTCTGCACCTAGCATCTACTTAGCTCTGCATGTTGTAATTTGTTCTCACATGTTATATCCCCACGAAACCCGAAACGGATTCTGATTTCACTTTCGGGCTCCGCTCTTCCATCCAAAACCTGGCACTCCATGTTTCAGAAGGCATCACCGGTGGTTGTGCAAAAACTTCAACATGTTGCCTGTCACTGTTGCCATGTTTTGGTGCCGATGCCAATACTCAAACTGGCAGCTTCGAATCTTCCTGGTCATTGCCTGATTGCCTGGAAAGCGTGACACATACTTCAAGTGTGTTCATAATATTATAGTACTAACGCTAATACTACTACTAATACTTATCACAATATTGATACTAACATCAATATTTGCAATAGTATTGATACTCCTACGAGTACGAATACATAATCTCTTGTGGTGTTAACAAATAATGCTATCACCAACACTGATACGGATATTGATAATCTGTTGAATATTCATGAATGCCAGTACTATTACCAGCATGAACACTTATATTATGGCTAATACAACTATGAATAGTCTTAGTTCTAATATCAACATTAAAACTCCTACGAATACCAATAGTATATTCGTATTGATATGAACACTAATCTTTTTACTAATAGACACCTGCATATACTCATGTACATAAAAATACATACCACTATCTTAAGATACAGATATATACATTAGTGCATTCATGTACTAATGTTTTGGCATAAACATATACCCATATACCAATGTAATAATATACTTCCCGTTAATGTATGAATATACTATACTAATATGCGAGTATACTAATAAACGACTACTGCAACATGCAAGTATACCGACATGACAAATTAGTAAACTAATATGCCAACATACTGATATACTTGTAAATATGACTAGACAATACATGAGTATAGCACACATACTAGTAAACTAATACACCAATATACTAGTGTACTCGTGCACCAGTTGTACTAACATATCAAATATACAAGTATACAAGTATACAAATATGTTACTGTTCGAATGCATTAACAATATATTGATATACTAGTCTGCTACTATACGAAACGATCAATATACTAACATATCAAAACTCTTTCTAGTATTGATACTAATACTAGCACTTCTGCGAATATAAGATGCGGTTAAACCCAACATTAAGACTGACACTGATACTAGCAGTGGTGCTGTATTACTGACAGTGACACTGGCACTAGCGCTAACTCTAACACGAGCATGAGCACTGACACTAATTTATGTTTACTAATACTGACATGTATACTATTACAGCAAACACTAGTACTAATATTATTAAGAACAGTACTCATCCCAATACCGATACTTCCACAAAACTATCACGTAACTCATGTGCCGCGCGTCGGGCGCATGCGTCCTCAGTACATGGCATGTCAAAGTATATGTTGTATATCTACTGCAAATGTTTTACTTTACAGATTGTCGTCGGGTGTGGTGTGCTTTGATACAATATCTCAAAGAATTGGTGGCATGGAGAGCATCTTGCAAGGATATGTCACCCCCGTCGCGGATCATGCTGGAAAAGAGGAAAAGAGGGACACAAACGATGACTTTCACTCGGGAGAGAACTGCAACGGATATGTCGTGGAACATACCCCACCTTGACATGGCATTAAAACAAAGCATATGCCATGTGTATACACGTGACAAACAAAGACATAATAGGAACACAGCATCCAAGGTTAGCAAATGCCGCCTGGCTCGAAAATCCCCAAAATTTGTAAAGCCTGAAATGCGAAAACATCGGCAGGGATCAAAAATCCCCAAAATTCCCAAAATCGTGGCATCTATGGGGCCATGGGTGTTTAGTTTTGCAAAACTTTGGGGATTTTCGAGCCTGGCAATGTTTTAGCATCCGACGTTGACGAAATGCCGCCAGGCTCGAAAATCCCCAAAATTTGTAAAGCCTGAAATGCGAAAACACTGGCAGGGATCAAAAATCTCCAAAATTCCCAAAATCCTGGCAACTATGCGGAGTGCGGGGCCATAGTCTCTGACATTTTGGGGATTTTGGGGATTTTTGATCCCTGCCAGTGTTTTCGCACTTCAGGCTTCAGGAATTTTGGGGATTTTCGAGCCTGGCAGTGTTTTAGCATCCGACGTTGACGAAATGCCGCCAGGCTCGAAAATCCCCAAAATTTGTAAAGCCTGAAATGCGAAAACACTGGCAGGGATCAAAAATCCCCAAAATTCCCAAAATCCTGGCAACTATGCGGAGTGCGGGGCCATAGTTTCTCACATTTAGGGGATTTTAGGGATTTTTGATCCCTGCCAGTGTTTTCGCACTTCAGGCTTCAGGAATTTTGGTGATTTTCGAGCCTGGCAGTGTTTCAGCATCCGAAGCTGCCCACCTCCCATGATCCACTGCTTACCAAAAGCAAGCATAGTATGGATCATGGGGGGGGGGGGGGGTAAGCATATATATATATATATATATACATATATATACACATATATATATATATATATATAAAGTGTATAGCTAGGCTTTAGGCTTAGGGCTTTAGGGTTATGTGCTTCAGGACCGATCTCGACGGTACAAGGTACACAGAAGGGTGTCCCAGCCGCCTATTATCCACCTCAATTCATGGGGCCCTGTTTGCTGGCTTAGCATAATGTAGAGGTCATACTAATCGGAATTGGCGTTTTTGGAAAGGGGGGGCCCTTAGTATATTTTTAAATATATTACCCCCAAACCCTATTCTAATTACTAAGGCCCCTATATTACCTCTTCTTGCAAAACCACGATTTGGAAACCGCCTCTCAAACTCAGCTCCCTGAAAAGAAACCAATTAAAGGATCATGGGACTTAGCAAGTAGAACATATACTGGGGTCATGAGTCCCCTAAGCGGGGCTATCCTAATTATGCCCAACTAATGGCCTATAGCCTTACTTACTAAGTCCCATGAGTGTTTAAGCATGAAACAAAACTGCAAGAATGTACACATTCCCCAGTGCCCAAACTAAGCCCTAAACCCTAGCCCTAAACCCTAACCTAAAGATTCCAGGTTTAAACAAGACCCTTTCATTAAGGAATATACCTTACCGAATATAGGGGCCTTACTAATTGCCTAGGGTTCCTTTCAAGGGGTCGATAAGGGCTACCACCCTCTTCTTCAACAGCCAGAACTTTCTAAGATACACCAACTATATAGGGCCAAAAGAGTTTAAAGTTCTTCCTTAGGGCTCATGCTTACTTAAAGGCTCATGGGACTTAGTAAGTAAGGTTATAAGTAGATTATAATTAGGATAACCCCACTTAGGAGAGTTATAATCCCAGTTATAACCTACTTACTAAGTCCCATGATCCTCAAAGTAGGGCTCATGCTTAGGTTGTAGGGGTCGCTTAGGTTCGGAGTTTCGGGATCTAAGGATTTCAGGGTTTAGGGTGTAGGTTTCAGGGATTGGGATTAGGGGTTAGACTTTAGGATTGAGGTTTAGGGATTAGAGATTAGGGTTAAGGGTTTAGGGATCACAGTTTAGGGATCAGGATTTAGGGTTTAGAGTTTACTGTCTGGTGTTTAGTAGGGACTGGGGGCATGGATCCCCACAGTAGTCCCTACATAGTCCCCAATAGCAGTCTCCATAATCCATTCCCCCATTCCCTACTAGGCACCAGACAGTAAACTCTAAACCCTAAACGGTATAGATCCCTTATAGATCCCATAAAGGAACGCTTAAGGATCCCTTATTCCCCCAGTATACCCCGAAACCCTTACTTGGAGTTAGGGTTTAGAGTTTAGGGTGCAGGGCAAAGCGAGCAGGAGCTGGTGTCTGGAAAGGGCCTACTCCAGGTCCTACGGTTGATGATATAAATCCTGCATCACCCATAATAAGGAATATATGGGAATTACGGTATATTCCTTATGATGGGTCATGCAGGATTTACATCATCAACCGTAGTGCATCACACCCTGCGCAAATCTTACAAACTTGAGAAATTCCGAATTAGGGTTTAGGATTTACGGTTCTAGGATTTAGGATTCCCTAAACCCTGAAACTCTAAGGCTAAACCTTAAACCATAAAGCCCTAAACCTTAAATCGACATGAACCGTTGCTCAACCCTTCGGCTAGCAGCTTATAGGGGCCACGAACAAAGACCATAAACACTTAACATGTACAAACTCGCCTACCCAGAAAGCCAAATACCCCTAAATTACGGAATATAGCTTAAGCCATCACATGAAGCCCCCTTAGGACTCCCAGAGACTCCAATATCCCTTAATTAAGGAAAAAATTAAATTGAACTATAGTAGGATCCCTGTTATGATTGAAGGAGTAGTCCAGTCTCTGGACTTAAGGTATGTTCCTTAGTTACAGGGTTTTGGGCTCTCTGGGAACGACCGCCCCAAGATGTAGCTCCAAACCCTACGAAATCCTGGCTTATATTCCTTGGTTACAGGGGGCCGAGGACCTGATGCCCTAAAGCGCCAAATCCTAAAGGTTCCTTAAGGGTTCCTTAAAGGGATCTACAAGGGTTATATAAAGGGTTTAGGGTATAGGGTTTAAAGTTTCCGAAAAATAGGGGGTTACCTTATTTGGGGGTCCTTGTAATATGGATCCTACTATTTAGGGTACAAGCTGAGGGTCCCCTACTTTCGGAAACTCCCATATGATATGATGGGTATAACACCCTTAGACAACCGATTCTTGGATGCAAAGGTAAGGCCTCAACCCGAACTCAACCCTAAACCCTCAACGAAACTCCAGAAACACGGGACCCCAAAAAGCACACAAGCAAAAATTAGGATAGGGATATCCCGTATAAACCCCCTTATAATTAAGCCCAATAAGGTAGGGATATCCCTATAACATGCTTATGCTTGTGTGCTTTTTGGGTCTCTAAGAAACCCAAGCCCCATGAAACCTCAACCTAAACCCAAGACGAAACTCCTGCCACGGAACCGTGGCGCCGTCGGGAAGGTCGCGGAAGACATCGGCAGCCGCTGCCTATTGCACGGTTTAGGGGTTTGGCATTTAGGATATTTAGGGTTCAGGAGTGTAGGGCAGGGTTCGGGTGGGGGTCGAGAGGTTTCTTAAATGCCCGACTTTGCAAGGTTATGGTGCATGTCCTAACTAGAACCTTACTTATATATATATATATATATATATATATGTATAAGTAAGGCTCTAGTTAGGATATGTTTAGGGTTTTAGGCTTTTGGGCTTGGGGTTCAGGGTTTAGGTTGGTTGGGTTTAGGGTTTAGTGTTCAGGGTATAGGTTGGTCTGTCTAGGGATTTAGGGTCTGAGTGTTTAGGGTTTTAGGATTTTGGGCTTGGAGTTCAGGATTTAGGATGTTTGCTTAGGGGTTTAGGGTTGACTGTTTAGGGTGTAGAGGGTCTGGGGACACCTGGCCCTTTGCCACATGAAAGGAACAGATGCAGCCTTGTCGTGGCATGTAGGGTGCAAGTTCGAGAAGTCCTCCAGCAAAGCGCTGCTGATGCAGCATAGGAACGTTGACCAGCCCAACAGGATTTTGGGGCCGATTGACGAAGACATATGTGAACTCTCCGAGGATGCTGTTCATGACTTTCAACCCGCCATATTATGACCCGTGCTAGTATCTAGAGATCAGGTTAGATCGTGGAAAAGCGAGAAAAGCAACGTGCGTGTTTAAGGTTCATAATACCATATAGGGACTCATAGTATATGGGTATAGGGCCCCTACTTTTAGGGGTCATTTGGTCCTTCAGGAACTCTGAACCCGAAAAACCCAAACTCCCAAAGACCATAGAACCTTTGCGGCCTGGCCCTGCCCCTGTACGCGAGAAGGGGTATTGGGCCCTCTGAGAAGAAACCTCCCCTAACCCTAAACCCTAACCCTGAACCCTAAAACCCAACCCTAAACCATAAATTTTAAAGCCCAGCCCTAGACCCTAACCCTAAACCCAACCCTAAAACCCCAACCCTAAACCCTAAACCAGAACCCTAAAAGAAATGGTTACCTCTCGTGAGCTAACGGTCGAAGGCCTCTGCGCGGCTGCTGGTGTGCGCTGGCGTTTCCAAACCCTCGAAGTACCTTCAGGACCAAGTGACCCCTAAAAGTTGGGGCCCATATACTATGAATCCTAACAGGGTATATGAACTTTGTTTGAACCCTAAATCCTTTTGGGGTTCCGTCGTCCTTAAGGTACCTTAGGTCTGAGATTTAGCGGCTAGCGGTCGGGGGTTTAGGCTTGGGTTGAAGATGCGGGCACTCAGCAGGGTTTCGGCTGCTCTATACTATAACCTAGAATAGGGAAGCCCAAGGAATCTAGCATTACTAGCTATTCGGGCTTCTAGCGAGGTCTTGGATACTGTTGATGGACAAAATCCTGCATTACTCTTTATAAGGAATATACCATAGTTCCCACAGTTAAGGGTCCTTAAGGTCATGCAGGATTTTGTCCATCAACAGTATGTCTTCAGTCGGTCAAACCATGCCTCCGAATCTGATGCAGTGTTTGCGACGGAGATATGTCTCCATCTTCATCAACGCTTCCCCGCACGTGGTTTTTGTGTTCAGCCTACCTTAAGGACCAAATGACCCTTAAAAGAAGGGACCCTATAAAACTACGCTATGAATCCCTATAAGGTATATGGGTGGTTGTCAAAATCAGGGTCCCTTTTTGGGTCCTTATTATAATACGACACCTAATATTTAGGGTACCCCAAAAAAGGCACCATAATGTTGACAACCACCCATATGAACCCTAAACCCTTTTAGGTTTAGGGTTCTTTTCGTCCTTAAGCTTACTCCCCCAATAAACCACAGAAATAAAAGATTAAACTTTCCGAGTCCTGTTAAACTATAAGAACCCAAAAAAATTAAAGGTTGGGTATTGGGGGATCTAGGTAAGATATGATGGGAGGCCACCAAAAGGGGGGTTTAAGATTCTTGGGGTAGGGATTCATTAATATGAACCCTCTTATGGGAACCCTAATCCCTCCTAAACCCCCATAGGCTAAAACCCCTTTTGGCCTCCTGGTAAGATACTTGTCATCCCGAAGGGTAGCGGTCTTAGAGGAAGGACGGTTTAGGGTTTAGGGGTTTACGGCTTAGGGATTCTGGGATTTTAGGGTGCGCAGTAGGGTTTAGGATGGCTTAGGGTTGAAGGCCAAGTTTAGGATTTAGGGGTTGGTTTAGAGTCTACCCAAAACAAAAAGCATTCAAGAGCGGTGAAGATCCCTCGAGAATCTCTTGCGGAATCTGCGAGGGAACCCTTAAACCCTGAAGCCCAAACCTCTGTAGTACCTGAGCCTTGAGGACCAAATGGCCCTTAAAAGTAGGGGCCCTATACACTTATACTATGAATCCCTATAAGCTAATTCTAAGCCGTTCAGTAACCCACTGGGAAAAAGTATATATTTTTTCGGCTTCTTATTCTATAATAGGAACCCAGAAACCTGAAAGTAAAAAAGTGTACCACTGAACAGCCTGGAATTACAGGAACCCTAAACCCTTTTCGGGTACTTTTCGTCCTTGAGGAGGCAGCCAAGTTACGCCTCGTCGAGCCTGTCCTTCTGACTCATCTTCGCCAGTCGCTTGAACCTGAGGTCCAAACCCTAAAACCTACACCCCTACACCCCTACACCCCTCCACCCTAAACTCTGAGGGCTCTATCGGGCTTCTATAGCTTTTCGGAGTTTGGGGCATTGTTTTTGAGGGCACCAAAGGTTTTCTGGTTTTTGGGCTTAGGGTTTCGAATTCAGAGATGTTTGCAGGTTTTGCATGCTTGGGTTGCAAGTTTAGGGCTGCTGTTTTGGGGTTTAGGGTTTAGGGTTTATGGGGCTTTACAAACCTTCATTCAACTGCCCAGCTGGTGGGCCAACAAACGCCTGAAGCTTCAGGTGCACCAGGAGGCAGCGCTAGTGAAACTTTAAAAAATCGGGCTCACAAGAAAAGTCTCCACCAGGCTAATTAAGAAAAATCAAACCCTATTATAATCCATAAAACCTAAACCCCTAAACCCTAAACCCTATAAACCCTAAGCCCGAAAAATAACTAAACCCCTAAACCGTCTACCCATTCCACCAGCCAGTTCAGTGACGAAGCCTACTTTCGTTTTGGATGAAGTCTCATGGTCGAAAGTCAAGGGTCGTACTTGGAGGATCATGGGACTTAGTAAGTAGGTTTTATTGGGGTTATAAGTCCCCTAAGTGGGATTATCTTAATTATAAGCTACTTATAACCTTACTTACTAAGTCCCATGAGCCTTTAAGTAGGGTTAGGGTTGGGTTTTAGGGTTAGGGTTTAGGGTTGGGTTTAGGGTTCAGGGTTACATTCTTGCAGTAACCCTGTTAAATTCCGAACCCCAAAACCCTAAACCCTTAGAGTAACTCTTATCTGAAGCCCTAAACCCTAAAATCGCACACTCTGACATTTGCTCTTTCCTAATACCTAGGATACCCAGTAACCTAAGAATAAAAAGGCCTCTCTTTTTGGTATTGGGTAACTTTATAAGGAGCCTAGGACTACAAAAAGGAATAAGGGTACTACTGGGCATCCTAGATACTCGTTGTTAAGGACCCCTCCTCAGTTAAACGCTAAAAACCTAGAAGCCCTGGAAGCCACTCTTGAATTCACGATCGTCTTCTAGACCCAAGAGTAACCTAGGAAGAAAAAGGGTGCCCTTTTTGGTTTAAAGGGGGTTATAAGGGAACCTAAACCCTCAAAAAGGGAATAAGGGCCTACTCTGGGTCCTAGTCTTGTAAGCACTAAACCCTAAAACTGCAAATCCTAGACCCTGCAGCCTCAAAATCATGAACCCCAAACCCTAATTACACCGTATACTGCGGCTGATGGTACAAATCCTGCATTACGTGAATGACCCTGGACTATGGGAATTAGGGTATATTCCTTGTTGTGGGTATGTCAGCTGAGGCACATGTCCGCGTACTGGCTGTAAATGTCGTGCTTCACCATCCCCTCAAACTTCCCGAGGCTGGGTTCGCCTCTTGTCTGCTGAATCAGGGGTTCCTTCAGAGTTTAGGGTTTAGGGGTTTCGGGTTTAGGATTTAGGGTAGGGATCCTTTAAGGGATCTTTAGGGTTCTAGTAACGCTCTATGTAGGAACTATCCTTGGGTCTTTGCTAGGGTTCCTTGTACGAGCCCAAAGACTGGGTTGTTCTACGACCCTAAACCGTAAACCTAAACCCTAAACATTATCATAGGAGCCTTAAGCGTGGTGACGGTGGTGATGGTTGTGACGGTGGTGATGGCGGTGACGGTGGTGACGGTGGTGATGGCGCTCCAGCTGTAAGAGGCTTTGCGCCGGCTGGCTATCAACTCGCACACTGGCACTTCGGCTCTCCAGGCTCCAGGCGGCAGGCGGACGTCCCTAAGGCCCCATAGGAGTTCCTTCTTGTGGACTTGAAACGCTGCGGGAGCCAGGTGCACAATGCCTTTGTTGAACCCGGCCTTGCTGACTTGACCTGAAATCACAGCAGCGGCCGCAGCAGCAGCAACAGAGCAATACCAATTTGTTGCTGCTAAGTGATGATGATGCTGGTGAGGATGAGGATGAGGATGGCGATGATGAATCTGTTGAGGATGATGATGGTGCAGCTGCTGTGATGATTGCGATGGTTGCGGGCTGCACGACAGCACTCAGTCATCTTTGATGCTTTCGGCGCTTGTAGGCAGACTTCAGGAGCAGCTGTGGTGAATAAGAAACTTCATGTCACGCTGCAGGGTATCGGTACCAGGCGCTACTTAAAGGCTCGAGGGACTTAGCAAGTAGCTTATGGCTGGGGCTACACGTTCAATAAGTGGGGTCATCCTAACCTATCTACAACGAAAAATACTTGCTGAGTGCCTTGAGCCTCTAAGTAGGTCTAGGACACTTCAGGGAGCTCCAAGTAGCAATGGGAAGAGCTGGAGGTAAGCCCTAAGTGCAAATACTAAGCACCCGACACTACCTGCGGCGGAAACCCCTTCCATTAATGATCCTGATAGTTCAGGGCTCAAGGTTCCTTCAAGGGCTCTGGCAGGGTCTCCTTTATGGGTTTGATGGGTACTATCAGGTTTTAGAACGGATTTAGCGTTTGGGTTTCGGGCTTAGGGTTTTACGCTGTAGGGCTTGGGGATGCAGGCTGAGGGTTTGAGAATATAGACCTTCGGGTTTTAGGGTGCAGAGCTTAGGGTTTATAGGTTTTTAGGAATTAGGGTTGGGTGCTTATGAAGAATTTTGAGGGATCTTGTTGGTTCTTCTTTGGGGGCTTCAGATACTGAAAAAGTGGAATGTTCGTGTAACACCAGTAATAGCCTGCTTACCCGCACCCCCGTGACTTCTTTAAGCATCAACGGGGAAAGGAGGGACCCTTAACGGGGACCCCTACCCTATAATGGGCTATATAATGGGTATATAATAGCTATATTAAAGGTATGTACCTAGGGGTCCTTATTAAGGGTCCCTCCTTTTACCCTTCTTTACGCAGGCTTCAGAGCTTGTGGCTTGTATTTAGGTTTCGGGGTTTTGAAGCCTTTCGGTTTGCTGACTTTAGGGGCCTTAATAATTAGAATAGGGTTTTGGGTATCTTATACTAGAAATAGGATAAGGAGCCCCCAAAATAGTATTAGTAATTACTTAGGCCCCAATACTTAGGGCCATTTAGGTTGACACTTTGCTTGATTTCCGTTTCTTCCTCTGAGAATAGTGCGCGGCAGTGGAACTTTTTTCGGTGGGCTTAAAGGGTCCGTGGGGTGTAGGGTGCAGCAGGCGCACTGCCCGTGAGTATATTGATCTGACCTTTGCGAAAGCATAAGTGAACCAAGGCCGACAACCGGACTTACTAAGTAGGTTATACCTGGGTTATAAGTCCCCTAAGTGGGGTTATCATAATTATAACCTAATTATAACCTTACTTTCTAAGTCCCATGGGCCTTTCAGTCGAGCCTGAAAACCTTTTTCAGAAGCGTGAATAAGTACAAATGCTTCCTCTAGGTTGCCTTATTGGGATTGCTATGGAATATATCTCGATGTTCAGAATCTTCATGCCCCCACATTCACCTCTTCGCACCCGAAACCTGGTAGGGGCCTCTTTGTGGAAGCTTACTGCTTCTGCGACTCACGGCTTTAAGCTCTAACTGGTTGTTATTATTCTGATAAATGTTGAATCCCGATGAAACCCATAAGCTTGCAAACTGTAAGCCCTTAGCCCCAACATAGAAACAGTATGTTACAGAGGAACCTAAACCCACCATGATAGTCATCGAACGTAATTTAATGTTCAGAAGAGTCGCAGAACTGTCAGAAAAAAAACGCAAGAATCACCTACTGGCTCGACTGAACCCAGAAGCCCCGGATCCTGTGCGCAATGGCTCTAGACACTACTCCCCTCAGAGTGCACGCAAAAAGACTGTGTTTGGAGATCTCCATAAACGGATATGACAAACCAAAAAACAAACGCAACACTAGGAACATACCGACGACCAACAAAGTAGGCGCTTGCAGGATGGGTGATTGCGTTCCCTAAAGGCTTTTAGGGTGCTGCCACAAGGAAGCGACACCAAAAGCCCTCGACAATTCCCCAATATGAATGTCTCAAAAAAGGGTTTCGGTTCTTTGGGAAGGGGCCGAAAAATTCCAGGCCGAGGCGCGCAACCGCGGTTCTACCGTGACCTCGCATGCCAGCTCCTGAACCCCCCCTCATAACTGGGAAAGCCTTGAGGGTTTAGGGTTTGGAAGTTTAGGGGTTTAGGGGCAAATACACCCTCATTGTTGGAAAAGGGCTTTGGGGTCTCATGTACTACCGGGCCTTAGATATCTTGAGTCGACCTTTGGGGCATGTCTAGTGCCATATGTTAAGAAGGAGCCCGATGAAATAGTAGTACCGAGCATACAAAAGCTTCTATATAATATGGCCTAGGCTACTATTTGCTTAAGAACCCCCAAAAAATAAAAAATATATTCCTTATGGGGGTAATATAGGGATTATTATTTTTATTTTTTGGGTGTTTCTTAAGCAAATAGTAGTAGGGTGGTTTGAGTTTACGATTGTAAGGCTTGGGCTCAGTGTCTGGGGACCTTGCGTTCGTCCTAAAAGGATCGAAACGTCAAGACCTACCTTAACGACGACAAGAACCGTATTACAAGGGATTACGGTTCATATACCCTATAGATTCATAGTGTAATGGTATAGGGCCCCTACTTGTAAGGGTCCTTCGGTCCTGAAGGTAGTAGTGGTGCCTGCATGAAGGCTAGCAATGTACCCGTGGGCTTCCTGATATTGGAGGTCTGGAGCCAGCCAACGTTGTGGTTTCGCTTCGGTTTCGATATTTTGGAACGATTTGTTGATATTTAACCCCTCTAAACCCTGAAACCCTAAAACCCCCAAATTTAAACCCTACAACCTTCATCCCTTCACCCTTAAACCCTGAACCCTTAAGCCCCTAAACCCTGAAACCCTGACCCTTAAACCCTAAACCCTACAGTCTTTTTACCACCCCCGGCAGCCTTAAACCCGAAATCCTCAAGCTTAGAAGCCCGGAAGGCGCTAAGTGGAACAACAACGATCCGACTAAATGCACAGGCTGCCAGGGGTGGTATAAGGACTGTAGGGTTTAGGGTTTAGGGTTAGGGCTTTAAGGGTTTAGGGGGTTTAAGGGTTTAGGGTTCAAGGGTTCAAGGGTCAAGGGTTTAGGGGTTCAGGGGTTTAAGGGTTAAGGGTTTAGGTTTCTGTGTGAGGGCTCCATATTATCATAAGGGCTCTCGAAGAGTTGAGGGTTTAGGGCTTTTCCGGCCCGGGGATCTGCACCATAGTGCGCCATTGCTTTTTGGCTGACCTTAAGGACGAAAAGAACAATAAAAGGGTTTGGGGTTCATATACCTTATTAGGATGCCTGGTATATGGGCATAGGGCCCCTGCTTTTAAGGGTCATGTGGTCCTGAAGGCAGGGAGCGACACACGTCGATGATAAGGCCCGCAAAAAAACAAACAAGCAACACATAGGATAAGGATACCGTATTGTTTCGGAGACCTAAAAAAGGATCCGAATGTAGAGAACCACCCATGTAAGAACTACAAGGGGTCTTTATTCCAACGATCGAGGCCTCTGTATTTTACACACATCGTATCATGAAAGTAGGGATTTCGAGTTTGATCCAAGGATAACCGCTCAAAAGAATACAACGGTCCGCTTATCGAACACCCAAAACCCCCTGCAAAAACCCAAGCACCCCTGCAAAAGCCTTGACAAACACTGCACAACACCGAAGCCCTAAAGTAAGAGACCCATGCATTGCTCGATTTTTCCAGTTCATGATCGCTGACTTCAAGGACCCTAAAACCTTTAAAAACTACTTAAAGGCTCATGGGACATAGTAAGTAAGCTTATAAATAGCTTCTAAGTTGGATAACCCCTACTTAAGGAGCCTTATAACTAAGTCCCATGATCTTCTAGGTAAACCTACGGTTGGGGGATGTCAGGGGTTAGGGCTAAACCCTAAACCCTAAACCCTAAACCCTAATCCCTAAACCCTAAACCCTAAACCCTAATCCCTAAACCCTAAACCCTAAACCCTAAACCCTTAGGGCTAAAGGTCCGGGAATTTGGGCTTGAGGCTGAATCGTTCGAGTTCCGGGCTTGGGATTACTTAGAGGATCATGGGACTTAGTAGGGTTCCTTTAAAGGGCTCCTTAAAGGGATCTATAGGGTTCCTTCAAGGGATGTACGGGGTTTAGGGTTTAGGGTCTACTTAGAGGATCATGGGACTTAGCAACTGGGTTATAAGTGGGGCTACAAGTCCCCTAAGTGGGGCTATCCTACCTATAACCTACTTAGAACCTGACTTACTAAGTCCCCTGGGCCTTTAAGTAGGGCTTGAGGCTTAGAGTTTGGGGGCTTTCTCTCCTTGGCATAGATCTCCGCCGTCGCTTTTGCCTCGGAGGTTTAGGGTTTTTTGAAGTGCACTGACAGTTTTTGGGGTTTAGGGTCTACCTGTGGCCCAAAACAGTATACTATAATTATGGTACGGAACCCCCCAAATAATATAGGTAATTGAGGCCCCGATAGCATTCATCAAGAAACTGGAACTCCAAAGCCAAAAATCTCAAACCACCCGTAACAAACGTAACGCGTGGAACACCAAACCTCAAAAGCCCCTTGGCCAAACAAGACCTGCTCAAGGGCCCCCTCGGCTTGCCTCAAAAACAGAAACGTCTCCTTGAGGACGAAAAGAACCCTTGAAATGGGTTTAGGGTTCACATACCTTATGGGGAGTCATAGTCTCCTAAACCCCTAATTGAAGCCTAAACTTCAAACAACATACATGTCCCGGTTACCTCCACCTTCCGGTTAACCCATCCTACTTGTCAGGTATCATGGGGAACTAAAGGTTAACTTTTTTGGATATATAGGGATTAAATAGGGACTATACTACCCAAAGAAGGTTAAAGGTTTCCTACTCTACTGCTAAACCCTAAACCCTAAAACCCTAAACCTCTAAATCCCTAAACCCTGGTACCATATCAGGGTACCCCGAATTTTCTGAAACTCCCATTTGGGGCCACCCCATGGCCAGCCCAGATCGGCAGAGATGCGCGTTTCAGATCGGAGCTGTAGATGCCGCTGCAGGATGGGATCCTGTCGGTTTAGGTGGCTCCTTCAAAGGGGCGTATAAGGGTTCCTTTAAAGGGCTCTATCAGGGTACTATAAGGGTCTTGGGATGTATAGTAAACCCCAAAAAGTTGGAAACCGGACTAAGGCCAAATAGTGCTGGGATTCCCTATAGATTACTCTTAAGGTTTCCAACTTTTCAGCTTCTAGCATAGGGTGATGGTGATTCTCAGAGAGCCAAAATACCCCTTAGACCATAAGGCATACGGCTCAGATCGCAAGATTATGTCCGGATGTCGTTCGTAAAACAAAACCTGGAAGGCTTAATCTCTAAATCCAAAACCACTTATGCCATGTGCCGTACAGCCATAACACCCTGCAACCCAGACCTAAATTGAAACACAAGACAGCCCTAAACTCTAAACCCTGAACCTTAAACCGCAAAGGCCCCAAAGTTGGACAAAAAGGGAAGACGGCATGAACTCAGCGGTATCTCCTTAGCCCCGCCGTATCTCGGAAACCCTGAACCCGAAGCCTCAGATCAACAGAACCTCCCTATAAACACCCTACAATAGTATAGAGCTTTCACAATGAAATCAGAGTTTTGGGCTACACTATAACCGGTACATTTAAAGAATCAACATCAGGAAAAAAATTGGTACATATTTAGGCGATTATATTAAAGCCCTGTTACTTCACTCTTCTGACTTGTCCTTTAAGCCCTTTGAAAATTATTTACGACTATGGTTCTCTACAAAATAGTAGGGGATATAAAAACAGATCCCAAAGGACAACCCAGTCTTTGCCTTTCGGCCAGCGTCTTGGCAGTGACCTGCCGGCATGCGAAAGGACCCCGAGCCCTCGAAGTTCACTGCCCTGCTTAGGCTTGAGTCAAAGGGGAAAAGGAGGGACCCTTAATAAGGACCCCTAGGTATATACCCTTAATATAGCTATTATATACCCCATTATAGGGTGGGGGTCCCCATTAAGGGTCCCTCCTTTTCCCCTTTGATTGAGGGTTCATCATGGCACTTCGAACTTGTATGGGCTACGGCTAGCTAGCTTTTGATACTTTCTCACAATTTAAAGCCTAACCCTAAGGAAACCCAACAAGCTCAGATCCTACTACCTGGAAGGTTAGGTGTTTGGGCGCGTAGTTTGTGGCCACCAGAACCCTGATCCCTCAGCTAACTTAGGCGTAAACGGGCCTACCCATACATCCTTGGATGCAACTGTAGTTTCTGGCCTTGTAGCCATTTATCTTTACGTCCGCGTCCTTGATATAAGTAATCGGAGAAATCAAAAAAGTTGAGCATCATGACACTGAGAACCAACTCTCAAGGTCAATTTTAGACTTCACACAAAGAAACTTATGGAAACCCCAAGACTTAAGCCCCAAAGGTACTAGCTAGGTCTCGGACTGTTTCCTAAATCCTAAGGAAATCCACCGTGATCCCTGAACCCTAAGTCCCAAACCCAAAACCCTCGAACCTCGACTTCCAAGCCCGGAGGGCCCAACACTTCTTAATTCAGGAAGATAGCCCAAATCATATGTAATATAGAGCCGCTGATAGTTTAGGGTAGATTGCTGAATTAAGGGGTGCGGGGCTCTCTGGCTCTTGACTTATGGTCTCAAGGGACTCAGCAATTAAGTAGGTTATCAGCGGGGTTATAAGTCCCATAAGCGGAGTTATCCTAATTGTGACCTTACATAAAACTTGCTTACTGAGTTCCTTCAGCCTGTAAGTAGGGTTTGGGGTTGGTTTTAAGATGTAGGGCTTGAGGTTTAGAGGCTTTGTTACTCATGAATTACTGGAATTGATTCAAGGACCAGGGTGGCAAGGGATTCATAGCAAATGGCCTGCTCCAGCTGTCCCCGCACGTCTCGCGGCACCTCCTTGAAGCCGGTCTCATGCAATGCAACCAAGACCTCCCGGCAGAAAGTGCTTCGCGGCCACAGCAATCCTTGTAAGTAATGACCGAGCCCGGCATTACCAGAATCAGCCTCGTGCTCCGCCTGGCACAGCTTCTCCCACAGCCGTCTGTGGTAAGAAAGGCCGTGACGGAGGATGCCAGTGTCTGTGGCCAGCAGAATTGCGAAGGAGTACGGCGGCCGACACTCATAAAGCTGCATGGTGCTCCACTCCTCGGCTGTCGGCTAAACCTCCTGGAGTTTTACATTCCACTTTCTAGGAATCGAGGAAAGGGTGACTGACTCAAGAGTCTAGATTCAGTGTGGAACATGTTGCACACTAAGTCGAGCATGCTGGCTGCCAGATAATCCTCCTCGCCCTCGTCAGGAAGAGGTGGTTTCATAATGAACCCTACCCTTCGCAGCCCCTGGCTGTCGTACAAGGTCCCTCAGAACGGGTCCAAAGAAGGAAACCACTAAATTAAGGGATCTACTTTCTAGATCCTCCCGGGGGTCTGGGCAAGGATAACATCTAATAACCTTCGTTGATAAGTCACTGCAGCCTGAGGCCAACGTCCCTCGAGCCTTTAAGCACGCCCTAACCATACTGTAAGGGCCTAAATAATTAGAATAGGGTTTTTTGGGGGTTCCTTGTTATAATTATAGAAAAATGTAGCCCCCAAACCCGATTCTGAGTTTTAAAGCCCCTACATTACTTGCCTCAGCTTGGGCGATACCTTCCGGAGCCAACTCGGTATCCTCTGCAGGGCTCGTGCTGGGGTTCAGAGTCCGGGGCTTAGGGTCAGGGTTCATGCTCTTGAGGGGTTTAGGGGTGTCGGGTTTAGGGTTAGAACAAGTGATCTGGGGTTTTGTGTTCATGGCTTTACTGCGGCAGCCTGGCTATGCAGACTAGCGCAGAGGCAGCAAAAATTAGAGCAGGGTCTTTGAGCATATATATATATATATATACATACATATGTCTTACTATAGTCATATAGGCACTATAAGGCGTCGTGAGTAAGTGTTCCGACCCCGATATTGCGCAGACTATGGTGCTAGGTGTCTCTACTGTAATAAGCACTCGGCCCATCGATTATCTCCTTCACCGATTGGAATGGCTCTGTTTGAAAACTTAGACCGCTGGTTGAGAACACCCATTCCTTTTCAAAGGGTGTAACTACTCTAAACCCCCAAAATCCGAAACCCCAAACGCCTAAACCCTGAAGCTTATATCTTACGGGCTTCAGAGCGGCCGTGCGGACATTGAACACCATTGCGCCTGGTGACGACTAAAATCATAATCCCACGAAAGATCCGGAGTACCTGCATAGCAAGACATGTAGAAAGAGCTGTCCTCCAATGTAGGAACCTGATTGAGAAACCCTGGCCTTATAACCCCAAAACAGTAGGGTCCATAAAAGGAACCCAAAAAAAGGCCCAAGGTTTCTTAATCAGGTACCTGCATTATAGAACCCCTTATAGTACCCTTATGGATCCCTTTTACTACAGTAATCTTTATAGGAACCCTTAACTCACTGGCCCAAAACCAAAGGAAATAAAAGTTGAAACTTTCAGAACCGATTACCTTATAAGAGCCCCAAAAGTTGAAAAGTTGAGTTTACAGCCAATATGTTAAAGGAACCCTAATCTCCTATAGAGCCATAGAGCCCCTTTACATAAGGTTCCGGTTTTGCCGCCAGTATCCCCAGATCCGCCCCTCGCTAACCAGTGAAAAGAATCGCGGGAATGCGGAATATTGTGGGTTCCTTTAAAGGATCTATAAGGGGTTTAGGGTTTAGGAAGCTTCCGAGAATAGGGGACCCTAATATAGTACCTTAAATAGTAGGATCTTTATTATACGGACCCCAAAGTCAGGTACCCCTAGTTTTCGGAAACTCCCACATTGTGGGGCCCTCGCTGCAAACTCGAAGAACGACCTTCCATTCCCATTTGGGAGCTTCCGGAAATGGGGGGTACCTTATTTTGGGATCCTTATAACAAGGATCCTACTTTTAGGGGACTATATTAGGGTCCCCTTGTTGCGGAAACTTCCATTTTTCACCCCCCCCCAAGCGCCTTGGCCCAAACCTAAAGTAGCTTCCCACCACCTCCGCTACTGTTAGTCCCAAACCTTCAGGCTCAAACCACACGGCTTAACTCAAAAATCCCGACCCGAAAATAGGAGCCTTGGTAAATAGAATGAGGTTTGGGCGTTTACGCGTATAACCAGGTCCGCTGTGGGAGACCGTCTGTTCGTGCAGACTCGTTTCATATGGTACTCTAGGCCCAAACCCTAACCCGAAGCAAGACTCCAAGGGTAAAAGGAGGGACCCTTGATAAGGACCCCTAGGTATATACCCTTAATATAGCTACTCTATACCCATTATACAGCCCATTATAGGGACCCAGGGGTACCCATTAAGGGTCCCTCCTTTTCCCCTTTGAAAGACTGAAGCGCCTGCTCCCCCTGCCAGCGCTTCGCTAGGTTCCATGTCGTAGTGCCGTGGCGACCTCAGAGGTTTAAAATTACAGGATCCTTAAGGGAGGGTGGTTCAAGGGGGGAGGATATAAGGAATCCTTAGGGGACTGTAAGGGAACCTTAGGGAGTACTAGGGAGAATTAGGGATCACTAGGCTATATACCCCCCTCCCTTAAGGATACTACAAGTTTACCCAGAGACTCCAACATCCCTTCATTAAGAATCGTCGTCTTAAGTGGGAGTTTCCGAGAATAGGAGACCCTAATAGAATACCCTAAATAGTAGGATTCTTTTTATAAGGACCCCAGAATAAGGTACCCCTAGTTTTCGGAAAGCCCCAAATCATACTAGGGATCCTCGTAACACTAGGGTTTTGGAGGTTCCTTATGATAACCATAGTATGATATAACCCCAAACAGAGACTGCAATATCCCTTACTTAAGGAATACGCCTCAAGGTGCCTTTAAGGGATCCTTTCAGGGATCTATAGGGCTTAGGGTTTAGGGGGTCGGAAGATCCCTTGATTACGGAATATTCCTTAATTTGGGATCCTAACTGACGGTATGTTCCTTAATACAGGGATATTGGAATCCCTGGGCGAATGATGAGCAGCGGAAGGCGTAACGCCATGTTTGAGACTTACGAAGAAGGCGTGCAGGGGTTTAAGGGATGTTCTAGAACTAAGGAAAATCGGAGTTCCTCTAAATGGTTCCTTCAAAGGGTACTTAAGGGGTATTATTATAAGGCTCTTTTCAAAGGGTACTACAGGGTCGCTTTAATGGGTTCTTAACGCTTCTAAGAGGGTTCGTTTGAAGGGTTCTTAAGGGTGTACTATAAGGGTTCCTTGACAGGGTTGTTAAGGGCTATTTAAAGCGCTCTTAATGAGTACTATAAGTGTCTCTTTGAAGGGTTCTTCAGGGGTACTACAAGGGTTCGTTTGGAAGGTTCTTAACGGCGTACTACAAGGTTCCTTTCAAAGGGTTTCGGGTCTAGGGGTAGGGCTTCAGGGTGTAAGGGCTTGAGGGTTTAGGGCTCTATATAGGGGCGTGCTTCAGGATTCTGGTTTTTCTCGGCTTAACAAAGTTACTGTTTTGTCAGATGGCTCAGTTTTTGTTGACGAGATAGCCGAGGAAACTGCAGCCATGCGCCACAACGAACCACTAAGCCACCCCACCCTAGACCCAAAACCCGCAAACTCCCGCACCGTAAACCACTCAACCCCTAAACCCTACAACCCTACATTTTGACCAATAAGCCTCTAAACCCCTAAACTTTCAAGGTTCCTCGTGGATGCAAGAAGCCTCAACACTAACACGCCAGACCACAAAAACGCAAATACGTTTAAATCTTAAACCCTAAACCCCTCAACCCCTAAACCCTAAACTCCTAAGCCCCCAACCCCCTAATCCCCTAAACCCTAAAACCCTAAAACCCCAAAGCCCTAAACCACAAACCCTAAACCACAAACCCCTAAACCCCAAACCCCTAAAGCCCTAAAACGGGTCTCTGAGGTGCCGAGCACATGTAGATGTTGATGCGCTTCCCGTCGGCTGGAGCGCTCCGCTTCCTCTGCCGCAGCAAGACTTTCAGGGTTTAGGGGTTTGGGGGGTCTAAGGCTTTCCTGGTTTGTAAGGAACCTACCGTTTTAGGGTTCCCTGATATGATTTCTTTGTAAAAATCCTTACAGAAGGTAGGTTACTTGGGGAAAAGGCTTTGATTTTAGACCGCCTTTGGATTCCCATATCGCAGACCAAATCGCAATTTGACTTTGAGGCTGCAGTATCTGGCAATGCTTCTTTAGGGCTCCCTCGGCTCCCTGCGCTACTTGTCGGGTATCATGGGGAACTAAGGTAAGGGTTACCCCTTTTGTTATGTAGGGATTATATAATAGGGACTTTACTGATTACCCAAAAAAGGTCCTAAACCCTAAACCGTTCCTACTCTGCAACTAGGCTACCAGAACAATCCCCTGCTCCCGGAAGAAGTAGCCCGCCCTTAAGGACGCAAAGAACCCCAAAAGGGTTTAGGGTTCATTTTGGGGTTCCTTTAAATGGTTCCTATAAGGGCTATTATGGGTTTTTTTAGATTTTAAGGTTTAAGGACGAAAAGAAGCCTAAACGGGTTTAGGGTTCATATACCTTATCAGGATTTTGGTCCGTCAGGTCGGGCCAATCTTTGTTGCGCTGAGGAGGTGGCGACTTTTTGGACTTGCCGTGCAAGGTGACAGCGAACCCTCTTCACCCCAATTTCCCTGCTCCTCAGGTGTGCCGGTTCATCACCTATGAAGAGGTGTGAACCTCAGGCAGTACATCCACCTATGAAGAGGGGCGTGAACCTCGGGGCATCTCAAAGACTGCCTCCACAGCCTCTTTCGGGACTCCTGCCGCATTGCCTGCAGTACGATGTGTCACAGGGCGTGCTTCTCCAGCCTCGCAGTGGAATGCGAGGTCCACCAATCCACAGCACGCACGCCACAAGCAGAACAGTCTGAATCCCATCTGGCCATGTTACTCTAGACCCAAGAGTAACCTAGGAAGAAAAAGGGTGCCCTTTTTGGTTTAAAGGGGGTTATAAGGGAACTTAAACCCTCAAAAAGGGAATAAGGGCCTACTCTGGGTCCTAGTACTTAATGCCCTGAGGTTTCTGTCAGGGGTGCACTTAAGGGCTCAGGGGCCTCTAAAGTAAGTGGGTCATAATTGGGGCTTTACGTCCCCAAGTAGGGTCATCCTAATCATAGCCTTAC